TTGAAATCCAATACGGCGACTCGAACCTCCACTATAGCGTTACGAAAGCATCATCTGCAGAGTTCCCTCGCCCCGCGAACGCCTTGGGTGGAGGTGCCAGGCCTGCCTAGCAAGTCTCCATCAATTTTTTTCATTTCTCCTCCTGCTCAAACCCGAACTGGCCATCGCGTTCCCCGAGGGAAAATTAGGGGCATCACCAAGGAGGCCCCCGCAACACACGATTTTCCGCATTTCGCATTGTCCATCCTCTCTGCGGAACGCCGGACATTTCCACTCGCCACGATAAACCGGCTCCGATCCCGAACCACTAGCATTATATAACCGGAAATAGTCTGTCGTAATTTCTAGTTTTGCCCCGAGTCTGTCCACACTGCTCCTCCTTTCGTCGTGCCGCAAACAGAGATTCCCAGTCACCGACAGAGAAAAATCTCAGGGACTTCGAATCGTTCACTGACCTCTCGAAGAGCTCTCTCATGTTCATTGTGGTAACCCAATGCCTAAATCTCGTAACTGGTTCGGCGAACTCTCTTATTGTGTCCGTGGCAAATCTTGCAAGAGATCCTAACGCGACGTCGACTTGCCCGCCAAATAAATCAATAGCACACGGCATAACGACCTGTTTCCTTTCGTGTCCAGAGCGTTGCTCGAAGCTCGCTCAAAGAACAGATTTGTGGCTCCTTCCTGCACGCAGGGGATCAGGGCCGGGCTCCTGAGCCTTGCTTCTCGGAACCATCGTCGTAAAACCATTACTGGCTTGGAACGTGCCGTCAAGATGCCGAGACGTGTATGGCGTCGAATGGCGTACCGCCGCGCCGGCCCGGAGGACGAAAGCTGCTTTACGCAATACAGCCATGAGAACGCCTATAGATTTCGGACACGGACGCGCCAGATATTGAGAAAGTTCAGGGCTCTCAGGTCGACTATTAGGTAGTTCCAAGCTCGTCCGGACGATTGGTCGATTTCCCACAGTGCGACCATCGCCAGACAATGGCGGGTCTTCACCGCAGACGGAAATTATTCGCCTGCAGCGGAGGAAAGGGGGAACTCATTCGCATTCTGGTAGATCTCTGAAAAACACCGACTCACGTTACATTGTTCGGAGCTCAACGGATGCAAGTACCTCGTAAATGCGGGACGTATGCAACCGGAGCGGAGGGGGCGAATTGTCGAGCACTTGGATTTCCTAGAGTGGAGGTGTCGAATCCCCTTCCGAAAATCCATGGGTCTCTCGTGCTCACGACTTTATTATCCTCTCAGGCACTCGTCCTGTTGCGAACGAGTTGAACCTGCGACGGTTCTTGGTGGAGATACCGAGGTGTACCTATACCCTTCGTAGGACGTTCGAAAAAGCGGAAACTCCTGCGGGGATCTTATGCGCAGAGCTGACTGAGCAACGATCTGGGACGGCGGTGGAGTGGAAAGATATTATGTTTCCTGAAGTCTCCTGAATCGACACGACTCTTTCAAGCGGAATTCAGAGGAGCGCATCCGCTAGAGAACAGGCAGACATCCGAGTGAAACCCCTCATTATCCGCTCCGTGCTTGTCTCGCTGAGCCCTCATCCCTGAGGAGAAGCGGGTCAAGGCCGCAGACGACTGCACGGCGAGGCTTTCGCAAGAGCTTTGGGAGAAGAACGGCGCCATCCCCGTCTGCGTCGGATCGGCAAAAGCGTTCTTTCAGGCGGGTCACTTCAAAATTAAAGCAATGTTCCCGCTGCGAATCCACGCCTTTGAATGAATTGAAAAATTAGGTAGCTAGGCAAGACAAGAATATCAACGAATGAGAGCAGTCGTTGACAGGAGTTACGACGGCCTATTCGAGTTCTCGGGAAATATCGCTTTGTACCTTCGTCCACAAGAATCTCCATCATGCTGTCAGCTATCGTGTGATGGGAACGGTATTTCCGAAGTGACGGCGCGACGGGAAAATATCGCAAGGAGATGATGAAGCTGTCACTCGATGGAGCAAGGACGAGATAGAACGGATGGGAGACGGCTGTCGTATTTGTTTCCGATGAGAGCCAGTGGTGGACCCACGAACTGCTCATTTCGAAGGTCTTGTGTGTATGGTGGAGAAGATCTCCGCTGGGAGGCTCCTGGTCGAAAGGAAGTTCCGAGCGGGCTAGTGTAGTGGTCCGCTCGTACCTGAGCGACCGGGAACATTCAGACTTTGGCTCTGATCATTTCTCCGATCGGTTCTGCAATCTTGAGGTCAGATGGGAGTGTCCGCGGAATTAGATCGATGACAGCTCCTCCTCCTCCATTGACCATGGCGGGCATGGCTATCTCCCTCCAAGGCAGAACTCTACTTGGATAGAAATCAGGGCGGGCGGTTTCCTGCTCGAGTTGCGCTCCGCAGATCGCGACAGAAGGTGACCTGATTCGATGTTGCTCGTCACCTGAGCTGCACCTCGATATCTTGCCTCTAAATTGTCGTCGAGGAAAAGGAGCGGGACCTAAGCAACTTCCTCCGCCCGATGTTTGGCACCCGAGGGTTCCTGGAGTCGGCGCAAATACCGAAATACGAGCTCGAGGGCGCTCGAAGACGCGCGTTCTCTCCATTCTGGGGTTGAGCGGAGACAATTCCATAGTATCAGATACTCTGAGGATCTCAGAGGATGAGAGGCGCGCACACAAATCACGCACACCGCCCCCCTCGCCCGGATCACATCCGTGAGTCATCTGGGTCGATACAGGGAAGTCACAGGGAGCGAATTCTCCCGCGCGGGTCGTCTGGACGGTTCCACTTTCGCAAGAATTCTGCAAATCGACAGGTAATTTTGACCGCAGAATGATGATGATGATCCCCATAGCGCTCCATTCACGGAGACGATGTTCTGGCAGCACCAGGTGTAGTAGAGAGACCCTGCAGCATTATGTGTCGAAGATTCCATCGGGACCTGAAGAACTGACTCGCTTCGTAGCTCCCTTCCGACCGAGGAACGGTTCGACGCACAAGTCTCACGAGGGGAGCTTCACAGAGAGCCTCTCGATTTGAAGGATGTCCATCAGATTCCGTCTCCGGGAGGCTAGATACAGCCTTGAATCGACCGGTAGATAAGTCCTGAAACTCTTCAACAGCCAGAGTCTGCGCAAGCAATAACCGTCCGAAGGCTCCGATATGGTGGCCCTCTCGACCTAGACCATCGTCCGGCTTGTATCAGGATTGTCATTCCACGCATTGGAAACGTTGAGGAAGATCCTGGGAACACTCTTGCGCTCCCATTGCTCTCCTCATTCGAAGCAATGCTGTGCTTCCTCCCCAATCACTCTTGAGTCGACGCTGTTCGCTCATGCGACGTCACCGTGGGATGAGACTCCGAATCGATTTCACTCAGCGACGCGACGTGAGATAATGTACCTAAATCAATTAGTGAAGTTAGACAAAGCACCTCTGAATACTCGTCGCGGAGCTAGGGCTCGTAGTCTCAACGATTTTGATTCTCTAAAAATATACCCCGAAGACAATCACGGGGGCTTGTCCGCGGGGATTTGGTAGAGACGATGTATCCGGGAAGAATTTCTCGCTGCGTGGGCCCCGCCCAGCGGACTTGAGCCTACTCAAACGGCATATCCGACTGAAGCTTTGGCTCTACAGCGAGTCCACGACGATAATGCGTATAGTCGACAATGCACCGAGGGAAACGCGCTCTGTGCAATTGAGGATTGAGGACAGCGAGCTGATCGGAGACTAACGGGGCTGTGAATGGTGTGAGTGGCGTGGGCTTAGCAGCGGTAATTGCAGGAGGACGAATGCAACAGCTTCCTGTAGCGGGGTCGTTGCGTCAGGACCATAATATTTTCAGAAAGACAGTTTGTTCTTCGTTCCGCCGCGCTGTCCTTATCAGAAATAGGGTCAAGACTCCGGACCCCGGTCGACGTTGATATCCGACTCCTGAGTGGGGTCTCCATCCTCATCGTTTATCGTCAGGAGACTCGCGGAGGCGGAAACGAGTTCTTCTGGCTCACCAATGCAGAATTCGAACCCCATGATCCGGACGTGGCCCAGCTTGACTGAAAAAAAACTTCCCAGACGCTTCAATCTAGTGCACAACTCTTGTTCTCTCTAGTGAGCCATTATTTATTCCGAAACAGGTATCGAGGAGATCTCATCCGGATAATTCTGACGGATTCACTGAACGAGCAGCCTCCCGGTTCCGGACGATCTCCCGTACAGACTTCTCGCGATTTCCGAGCTCGAGATCGGCTCTGCCGACGGGGAATCGATATGGGAATCCCGCGCCAAAGCTCCCAAGGTCGGAGCAGGCTCGGCGGACTTTTCCAGAGAATAGTTTGGACAACTTGCGAAACTCGAGCGTGCCTTCGCTCACTCAACAGAACAGGCAGAGTATCACACCGAGTGGAGTGCGTCCGTGGACTTCAACAATAGGATCCGCCCATGCTGTCCATGTTTTGGGAAAATTCGCGGAGCACTTCATGTCAATCCCCGCGCGCAGCGTCCCAAAAATTCTTCCTTGAATTGGGGCGATTTCAGTCGGTACGGGGCAATTTTGTTAAAATGCCTGTATACGGGGGCCCTCGCCTCGGGATGCAGTCCGTGTCGCTCGAGGACAACGACCAACAACTCCCGAATCATGAGGAGTCTCGTTGGGGCGTCTTGTCCCGCTACCTCTGTTGATGATATTCATCCGTGGCATCAAGAAATCTGTTGCTGCCGATGAACGAAAATGTTTGAGCTGCACGGTAAATCACAACTCGGACGGACCATGTTCCTCTCACGTCTCGGCCACGGCGGTAGGTGACCATTTCATGCGAGAGGTTTACAACGATACCACTCCAGTCCAGCTTCTTCCTGCCCGACGGTTTTCTGTGAAATGACCTCCGATCTCGGCCCCCGGAAAAGACACAGTCATCCGATTCGGATGCATTCGGGAACTCTGGAATGGGAGGGGGCCATGCTCGGTTTCCTCGGAATTCTATTCCAGCGAATCGGCACGAGCCGAATAGCGTCTTAGGCAGAACACGTCAGGGTTTCCCTTCAGGAACGATCAGAATTTATTTCCGAGGTAAACATTTTCGAAAAATATCAGATCGGACCCGTGACGGATCTTGTCAGATCTCGATCAGTCCCAGGTCGAATGTTTTGATCCGAAGGAGCGACACATTTTCGTTCCTCGGTCGGGTGCATACTTCCGCGGGTGTCCGATATTCAGTTTTTGTTCGATGCGAAATGTCATATTCCGTGTGTGCGTGGGCAGATCCGATTTACGCAGCCGTTTTGCTGGCAAGGAACTGTTTGAAGCCCTCGATGCCCTTCGCATGGCATTCGTCCCAATGAGGAAGCTGCTTGACGCGGTTGTAGTAAGCCTCAGCTTTGGGGAATCCGGGGAATCCGTAGCTCGTGACCTGAAGGGATACATAAATGCTTGATCAGGAGGATCAATTCAGGAGGATCCGAGCAGCGGAATGACGGCTTCACCGCCCAGGACACTCTCTGGCATATTTTCTGAGAAAAAAATCATAAAACTTCAATGTAAACTACCTCGAGCATGGTCAAGCTCGACCCGATGCAAAGATCGGCGACCGAAGGCTCCTTGCCCGTAATGAAATCGTGGTCTCCGATGAAAGTCTCGAGGAAGCCGAGGACTTCCTTGAGCTTCTGCTCCTTCTCGGTATCGTATTCCTTTCCGTGGATGAGCTTGGGGTAGAAATATTCCCCGATTGCCTTGTAGAGCGTACCGATGTCGAAGTACAAGAATCTGAGCGGGAGAAGTTTTGCTTAGATTGGGAAGAGACTTTTCGGAGCTGTTTTCGAACGGAGCGAAAACTCCGCACAATAATTGAAATATGGGGATGTCTTGTCTCAGATCTGAGTTCGGTACCTGTCAACCACAGCTCTTTTCTGGGGGCAGGTCGGGTAGAGAGCATGCCCCGGCGCGTATTTGTTGATGAGATAAGTGCAGATGGCGCGAGACTCTGCCAGCTTGAAGTCACCGTCCACAATAGCCGGGATTGTGTGTTGAGGATTGATCTGAAAACAAATGAGGCCTTCATTACTTCCGCTGGATTCGATATTCATAAGTCTTCCCAGGGACACTCGGTTCTTTTAAGCCGATATGAATGGATGGCGGGTCCATGAGACTGGAGGACTCGATGCGCCTCCCCCCCCCCGGTAGTGTCACTCTGTCGACATTTATCAAGAGCTATTTGATGATTTTCCGGGGTGAGGTTACCCTCCTTTGGGATCTCCGGAGCTCGCAGCAGAGTTCAAGCAATTGGTAACGACCCGACTTGGGAACTTCTGTTACAGTTTCCAATACTGGTTGAGTGAACAGGTCATTGAAAGTCCACTCGTAGGAGTTAGGGTAGAGCGGAGCTATACTGCGCAGACAGACAATCGCTATCCTGGGATGGAGCTCTTTCAGCGAGAAAAAAAGTTTCGAGAGAACTATTGAGTGGTCGGATGACCAATCGGAAGCGGAAAGCCTCGCCCCGACCTGTGCATCATTCCACTGCTCTATATAACGCTGTGATGGGGCACCTACATAACTTCACACAGAGTCGACTTCTAGCTGGCCTCATCTCCTTGATCCTCGCTAGTTCCGCTCTGTATCAGCGCCATTAGAGCTCGGGCTCTGTCCTGCGTGTAGCTCGTTATTGTGATGTTTTATTCGCAGAGGCCGTGTTCGTTCAGTGAACGCGATACTAAAATTATAGTAGACTCGATGAGGAAGACGAAAAACCTACGCATTAATAATTCCGAGAGCGATCCGGTCGCGGCATCGTTTCAGAATTGTATGCCAATTCATTGAGCTTCATCTCGCGCACACTCCCACAACGGCAGTATCTTCGATATACGCTCAATCATTATCGTTACGCTCCTTCTGATCGAGAATCAAGACAAGTCTCAGAGGGTCTTTGCTCTCTCCGGAATCGTGGCGTGGCTGACATCCTGCGAATGAGAAGATTTCGTTCTCGTGCGTCGCTCCCGCAAGGAACATTCTTCGGCCTTTCATTGACGTTCCCCCCGTGCCGCGGAGCTCTCGGATCCTCCCCCTCCAACTTCCAATATTTCTATCCGCGAGAATCAATTCCAGAGCATTGCGGCATTTACCCTTCTGCCATGAGGGCTCTGTCCAAAAGAGATCGATAATTTGGAAATTGTGCAACTGAGGTTGATGCCCTCCTTTTAGCTCTGATCGATTCTGCCAACGTGGTCTCCATGTGTCAATAGCGACGTCGGCGGAGGCCATATCTATTTTTGAAGTCAACTCCGGCGCCGAGTTATGATCCTGCCAAGTTCAGATGGATTCCGTTTTTGGAGATTGCCGTCATGACAAATGAGAATATCAATGATCGTAACAGTTCGAGTATCTGTATTGTACCGCAGGGAACCAGCTTCAATTGGTTGCCGAGGTCGAAATGATCTGTCGCGCTCGGCAGAGGGAAAATGGCCCGCGAAGGGAGGCCATTTTTCTTCAAGGCAGACAATATCGAATCCGCATCCGAAGTGACCGCCGGACTTAGTGGGACGTTCTGAATCCACAAGGACCGAGCAGCTCAACTCGGCATGCTCTACCGATTTTGATATCGACTAGGTCCCGTAACACTCTATAGAGACTAATCAGCCGTGTCAGATGGTCGGAAATCGTAGAAAAAAAGAATTATGAACCCAAAATTGATAGGTTTTCTCGGCTAATTAAGTCAATCAAAAATACACGGTGAAGTCGAAACATGTTGAGAGACTCATTGTCCAGGATGCTTGGCATTCAACTCGGAGCGTTCGAGCTCCCAAAGAGCGTCCTACCTGATGGAACCAAGGCTGACTGGTCTCACCGCGAGCGCCCATCGTTTTAAGCTCGAAGGGTATGCCGGTCCACGTCAGAAGCCAGTGGACAGCTCTCGAAGGCGGAAACCAGCCGTGGAAATAGAGAACCACTCCCATAATCTCCAATTAGCCAGGGGACGCACTTTATCCGCTGCTCCACCGAACACTGGACAAATGACTGAAATCCGGCGAGCGATTTTCTTGTTCAAGAGCTGTCTGCTGGTCCGAGAAGCCGAGCAACGAGAGCTCTGGATAAACGAACGATTGGGCAAGCGAGCGACCGAACGAACGAAGGGAAGGATGCTTGGACGGCCAGAGCCTAGTCCAGCCCTTAGAGATGCCAATGCTCAAAGTCTTGCCGGCTGACCGGTAAGGGTGGGTGGTGTTGATGACGCGGTTTCTTTCCTGGTAGTCCGAAAAAGAGTGTTTCGAAACAGGGGAAAATCTCGAAAACGAAAGCTCGCCGCAGACAGATGAGTGAGCACGGGAGAAGTTTTCACGAGGTACCCTGGCGCCGAGTAAACTCGACCATGATCCAGTCATGCTCCTGCTGATTGGGGTTGCTGCGCACCCCGGATCAGAGCATGACGCGCGGGGAGGAGTCTCTATCCGGAACGGTGGCTCGCATGGGTCCGTCTCAGACACCAGATCCCGGCAAAGCTGCTGAGGGCATCGGGAACAGCCGTCAATGCGGCGTAGTTCGTTCCGAGAACACCGCCCCGCTCCGGGATCTGTGACGCGAGAAGAGAGTCCCTCGGAAAAATCAACTCCTGAAGCCTAAGCTCCTCGTCAGTCTTAATCCGAGACAGATCAAGGGTCCGAGCAAGGCTGAGGATCTTGCAATCTTTGGACTGAGGAAACGCCGACCCGTTTCACTCACGAGAGGGAAGCATCTCCGTCTATATAAGTCCCTACAGGAGAAGTCTTCGCTTCGTGTTGCAACTTGATGTGAAGGTCCGCTCTTTCCCGGCTACGCGACATTTGACGCAGAGTTTGTTCCCCCATCGCAATCGACGAGAGGGCTGTCAGGGCTCCGAGAAGTTCGAGACGAAATATGTATGGGGCGGAATTCCTGTCCAGCCGTTCATTCAAACCAAAACATACCAGCGATAAAAGTGGAATCACACAAAGCAAATTGCACTATAAACGGGCAAATAAACAACCAGATTGTTTCATAAACAAGGGATTCAAAACATGAGAAAAACCTCCTTGGTGAGGCGACAGGCCCTACACGCATCCACAAAAAAAAGGAAACGACCGGGAGATGGAAGACGGAGCAGCTACAACTGAAACGACATGATCCCATCGTAACTGTGATCCGGAGGTGGGAATCCCGTACATCCCATAGCCCGAGGGATCATTCTCAAGGTGAAGCCCACGTGGGCGACATCCAAGCGAATCCGCGAACGTCAGACCTCCGCCTCTATTCCGTGAATAGAGAGAGAACCGAGAATCGAAAAACTCCCGAAGACGCTGAATCATAAGTCGATGATCCGCGTGAGTCCTTTCTCCCGGAAGAGCCGGACGTCCTAGTCCTGGACGACTGCACGCTCAAGCTACCACAGCGGCGAGAGCAACAAAGACGTGCCGACCCCGGCTGAGCGGATTGGATCTCGCGCAGCGACTTGAACCCAGCGGGGAGCATCGCTCCACAGCGATATAATGTTGTGTAGGCCGAAAGGATACGGTCTCCGCCCGATATTGATCCAACAATATCTTTATGAGCACCCTGCAGCTGAACGCGACGGATGTGGACGGATAATAGCGCGGCTGCCGACATCGCCGATCATATTAACACGTCACAGGGTCTCTGTGAGAGTTATTCAGCAAGGCCGGAAACACGACGTCTGAGGTTAGACCGGACCCGTGGTTTTTCTTCTGAGCAAGTTTGTGTATATAAAAGACTCGTCATTCCTTTCGTCGCTCCGTTACAGAACCCTGAGCCGAGAGCCGGAGCGGTGGTTTTCGGGCACGCGGCATCCAATCTCGATGAAGGGTCACGCGGCACGCTGTGAGCGTCGATTTGCATGCGCAGACGCGTGTCCCGCATATTCGCAGGCATAATGAGCCCCTGGTGGGAGGGTTATCATTGCACAGGAGCGATTCAATCACAACTAAAAGCACCACGATCGGCGCCTCTGATCGGGACAGCTGTAGTGTTTGAAGAAAAATGAGTGGTGATGACTCCGCGGTTTTCGGGGACCGCTAAGAATTTTATGATGTCGAAAGCTAACGAGGGATCTAGTACCGCGCCGATTGGAGAACGACAGACCTAGGCGACCCAATCCAAAGTTCACTCCGTTAGTAGCAGCAATTCAAGGCGATACCTCACAGAATTCACGCCAGTGTCTGGCCTACCGGCGACTCCCGTGTCCAGCTGCTAGGCCTTGCGCGGTTTTTCACCGCGGTCGGGAAATCGCGGTTAACCGCAAAATTTTCGCGGTTATTAACCGCAGGATAACCGCATCCTCTGCGGTTTTTTTGCGGTGAGCAACCGCATTTTGTCCAGTATAATTTGTTGGCTTAACACCTTCAATTCGGCCTTTTCTGAGAATGCAGAGTCTCCCTGCCGGGCAGGGGAGAGAGCCAACTCATGTCAGTGGAAAACCAGAACACAGCAAGCATCGTATGACCGATACGCCTATCGATGATCAGGCTTGGCTCCGATTCGGAGTTTTCGCGCTCTCGTCCGGCTTTCGTTGATCGAAGCACCGAGTGGAGAGCGTTTGAATCCACAACGCTCGAAAATTCTTCCAACTTCTCACCGGATGATCTATTCCTACTGCTTTGGTCTCATCGAATCGATTTTCAGTGAGACGCTAGTCGAACTTGCCGCTGGCGAACGCGTTCATTCGAAAAGGGACAAAAGGGGAAGAGTGTGGATCGCGAATTCCGATTCTTCAGAGGAGGTGGCGAACGCGGCCGCCTGCTCAAGCGCTGTCTGGAAAGTTTGGAAGCGATCCCCCCAACCTCCGTGCAACCAGAACGAGATTTTAGTGTAGTCGGCCTGATTCTAGGAGAGAATCGAGGAAGCATGAAAACGGAGACCCTCCATAACATCTTCATCGTCCGTAAGGCTTTGCAGCACGGGCTTTTGTAACTTGATGGTAACTTCATGTAGCAAACAGACTGTAAATAAATAATGCTCTCCGGACCTTTTGTGGACAACGGACGAGAACAAAAAATTCTGTGAATATGCGCTTATTAACCGCAAAGTGACTGTAACCGCGGTTTTCTCATCCGCGGTCAACCGCAACCGCAATTTTTTCAAAAAGCGGTTTTTCGCAAGGCCTACCAGCTGCTCGAGGAATGAGAGCTATCAACAATCGACGTACTCACCTTCAAATACTCGGGAGTAAGATGCTCCCCAGCCATCAAGTCAGTGGTCTTGAGGTTCAGTTCCACGCCAATCGTGGCAGCAACCATTCGGATCGAGCGGCAAGGAGCCGAAAGCTGAAAGATTAGGAAGAAATCTGGATTTAGTTGATGTCGGCTCTCCTCGATTTTGCCCACTCGATTGTTTCCGTTGCCAACATTCTTCGGGTCCCTTTTGAGACTCCCTCATTTCAAAATGAAATCCAATGAATGGATTCGGGCCAAGGCGGCTCATGGCAATTGTCGCGGAGGAAACGACAAAGCGGCGTCCAGAGCGGACGAGAAGACTGGGATCGGGAGAACTCACGATCATCGGAAAGAAAAAAAAGAGAGCAATGGAGCAGAGGAGAAGAGTATAAGTACCCGTTGCGCTTCTAGAATGACTCTGAACGATTCCCATCAAGTTTTACGTCGTCATAAAGAATATTCTGGAACCTTCTTGGATCGCATGCATGCCATGGCAGAACTTTTTCTGTGCGCTGTCACACGTGGCGCCACATCGTTGACCTTGCGCTGAGGGGGAAACTTGGAAATTCGTCGAAGATATCGAATCGTGTGTCTCGAAGTCCTAGAAAAAACGGTCATGCTCTCGGATGTCTCGGAACGGTGATGCTCTCACGAAGAGTTCAGGAGCGGAGTTACAAAATCTTCATGACCAGGAACGCACATCGAAGACTCCCCCGACCATCCGCACGCGTATTCGATCTCTGTCAAGATATCCTGAGCAACCACTCATAACCAGCTAGGAAAATGGAATCAACGCCGAAGTTTCCAGTCTTGACAGGTGCCATTCTGCTCCGAGTAACACCTCTACACTGTCGGCCTCTACACTGTTTGTCACTCTGGGTGGGAGACTCCGAACCGAAGATTTCTAGTGCCGTCAAGTTTTTCCATGAGACCCCTCTAATAATTTCGAGTGCTGATTGATACACCACAAGAAGAACCCGATAGAAACCAGCTAGAAACTCACCTCCATGTGGTAAAGATCGATCGTCATGTTTAAGGTGGTTTTTTCCGGCGTAACAGACGAAGGTGAGCAGCCCAGCTTTGCTGCTGGCTGCGACCGGCAGATCTCTCAAACGATGCAGAGAGGGTAACGCTTCGAGGATGAGGAGGACGTGGTACAATCGATGAATCTGCCGCTCTTAGCTTGGGAACTTCAGCTTGTCGTCGAGGGAACATTAATTTGCCGAGTCAGCGTCGATCGAATGGCGGCCGACCAATTTAATCCATGACGGGACGTTCGATGGGTCGAGCGCGTTGCCGTGGATCGAGAGCGTGGGCAATCTGCGGACGGTCAGGTAGAATCCGCCTCAAATCTCAAGTTATTTACGGACGTTTCCTCTGCCTACGGTCTCAAATGACCGTTCGGGACGGAACCCGCCGGTTCGGGCGATCACGCAGGCCGACTAGACGGAAGGACTTCGTAAGAGAATCGATGATGCGTCACGGGGCATCTACTCAGTATGTGGACACGCACATCGAGTTGGACAGGGAAGCCCGCCTATTCACTCGAGCATCATGCTAGGTTTGCCACCCTCTCTGGGTCCCTCTCTCATTTTGCACGCTCTAGTTATATAGACTGACAGGTCAGCGGGGAGGTGCACGATGGAGCACGTCGTGCGCTCTTTGAACTTATAGTGTTGCCTTCGGTCAACATGCCTCCTTCTCACAGCGAGGCATGCCTTGACTCAGCCTCACGGAGTAGTGGTTTTCCATGGCATCGGATTTCCGAAACGAAGCCTGCGGAATCGTGTGTACTTTCAGTGGAAGATCGAACCGTTGAGGGCCCCATCGCGATCTCATAAACTCCATGGTCTTGAACCAAATAATCTCTAGCCCACCTGGCATCCTTGCTTCAGAATGGGGATCTGTTTCGAGCGTGGGGTTTGTCGAATATTGTTATTCCTCATCATCTCATCATCATTGAGAAGATTGCTGTCAGAATCAGAAGGTAAAGAGCTGCCTCCTTGGGGATTTTCCGAGCGCGGATAGAATATTCGAAACTATTCGGGCATGACTGAATGCCGATATCAGGCATGCCGACGTGGGTTCCCGATTTCCGAGACCTCTGTGGAATTCGGAATTCAGTCGCCGGTTCTGAGCTCACGCACCCACCGACTCAGTCAAAGATCGCGACCAACGCTTGCTTCGAGTCCCGACGTCACCGGGCGGCAAGCATCGTGGTTCGGGAGGAACATTCCGCACGGGCCGAGGTGAACGTCTTCCCGGATAATCAATGGCTGATGAAACTGCTGTGAACTTCATAATTCATGACGCAGGACTATAAAACGCAGCTCTGTCAGGCCGGCCTCGGACAACCCGCAGTCGGAGAATACTTGGAGCGCGAGCTCTGCTCAAATAGTGGAAGACAGGCTGCGCTCGGCGAGGCGGCGCAGATCGTGACCTTGTTGTAATCGAGGATGATGATTGAAAGATCGGCAGCGCGGGTTGTCACTATGAATGACAATCGTGTGGATTCCGACAAGATCCCGTGGACGAGATCATGACTGGACACTGGACCAGCTTTGATTTGTCGAGTAGAGATTTTGAACGCACCGAGCTATAGGCCTATTGCGTTTCTTGCGTCGCATCATTCCGAGGAGTCCCCGAAGAATCACCGAATCCATCCCACAACAAACTTCCTGCCACGAATGCGGACAGCGAAAGGCTCCCGCAATTGCCATCAGGACCTGATTGTCCTCCAGAATCGAAACCTTCAGTCTGAACGACGAGGTAGGAGCGCCCTGCATGCGGCACGGAGATCAACGGTCGATATCGGAATAGGGGCCCATCCCCAGTCCGTTCCATCAAGTTCGATCTTCCCCGATTCATCCCTATCGTGTGATTCTCATTCTTTGTGCTCCCGGGAAAGAGATCAATGAAAACAACAATAATCAATGCCCGACCTCGGCTCCGTCGTAGGGTATATACAGGGTGTTCGCCTTGAAGTGGGAATTTCCTCGAGTCTGCGGTTATGCGCATATTCTGGTCCGGGCTCCGTGGACTCTCAAAAACTAGGCGTCGCTGGGAAGTTCCCGAATAGACGCACATTATCGTTCCTCAAAGTATGCCTGTACCTCCGGACATTCATTTCGAATCCAGGCGACCAAGCTGAACCCTTCCCTGTTTCTAGAACAATTTTCTTCAGTCAAGCTGCCTTTACCTTCCATTGGCAAATCGGCCCTCCGCGTCGGGCGGATAATCTTCCTGTGCTCAGCGGATGATGTCCGAAGCTCATAGCGAATCGGATCTCTGAGTCACAGTTTTCTTCCCCATAGCTTCGGATTCCATCGATAGAGGAGCGAAAAATTCTTCCAGAGGAGGTCTTGAGGGGCGACGAAAAACATGGAACCCACGTTCGCCGCTGAAGCCTGGGAAACGAGGTCTGAGACGCAGCAATGGTTGGGCCTCGGAAATGTGCGTCCAGGCGACCTCCTCCCTACGACCCCTATTCCCTCGAACCCATCGAGCCCTGAACGACATACGAACATCTGAACTCACTGAAGCAGAGTCCCGTCTTACGGCGAACACCCTGCATGTACATATTGCACTCAAGGGCAGCAGGAAATTAGTCTGCGCCTCTCTGGAGCCTTGTTTCTGGCCGCGGTAGTCTCTGGGGAGTTGGGGTCAAGACGCATCACGGACGTGGGAAGCCATCAGTGGTGGGGGAACAGAGCTCTCGTAAAATTCCCCCGCGTGTCATGGATGTATTGGGACCCTTGCTAACATGCTGTTCTCTTATCTCAGACTCAAGGCGGGCTCCGTGTGGAATTCCATCATCGATTCACCAATCTCGAATCGTACTACACGAAACTAAAACTGATCATGACTGATCCACAGTGATGCCCCCCAGCTGTGCGCAATTACGCACAGAACTCGAACGTGACAAACTCAGAATTCACCGGGCTCAAACGGAACTCTAACGAAATGATGCCACGCGCAGCCACCACAGAGGAATGGGAATCTCTAATGCATCCTTCAGCATAATAGTATCTACGGCGAATCGACGGCTCTCGAATCGATGGGTCCGATGTATAACACTTCCAAGGTAAATGCTCTTGGACTTCTTCCTGGATTTCGGAGGATCCGCTGATTTTGCCTTGGGTACTACCGATCGGAGGAGGATACATTTCATCGGTGATCTCTCTGTGCGTAAAATAGACTCAGGCATCATGGGAGCCTCCACTCGAAGCAGATATTCCGCTTGCAGGGTCGTTCGTAACCGGCATCTGGGCTCGATCCACGAGAAGGCCGTCTTAGGAAGCTTCTATTCAGGGCTACGGTGGATCACTGGTTTCCAATGGAAGTTCCTAGACCATCATAGAACCTAAGGAGGGGGAATTGGCTGATCGAGTCTAGCTCTATTCCTGTGCCCCCCATGATGTCTGAGCTGTTCTTCGACAATGAAAAAGTGCGAGCCTTAGTTTCGGGAGTTTCGCTGGCGGATTTCCCGCCTCGGAGTAATTGCCTCTCATCGCACTGAAATAATGCGAGAAATGATCGAGACTCCGCATCCAGCGTACCTGAGTCGAATCAACTGCGACGACACGCACACTCCCCGCCCTTAGCGCCGGAATCTACCACAGTTTCCTGATCGTTCTCGAGTGCCGGATTCTGCGCGGATTCCCCCCCACAATCCAAGACACCTCGCTGTCTGGTGATGGACGATGCGGCAACCCCAGCGAGAGAAAACTCGAAAGTTGTCCTCCCCGTTTGAAAATCAGACGTGAAGCTCGATTTCCATCCTTCAAGGTCACGATCATGTCCTGGATCCAGTATTGCTAGGAACTCGGGCCTATTGTAATTGAAGATTATTCTCGAACGAGCTCTTCCGAAACTGGATTCACTTTCCATTTATTAGGTCTAGAATTCTTCCGGAGGGACACTGCAGCCCACTATGAATCTGGCATATACACTGCTCCCTCTCAGCTTCACGGAGCTTGACGTTGTGGTCGGAAACCAGCTTTCGGAAACTCAGAAGGAGTCGCTTCTGAATCGCCATTCAGCATTATTCCACATACGATTTTCATCTAAGGTAGGAAAGATCTTTCAACTTGAGTTTTTTGTCACTGTACAATATCATCGTGCCGACAATTCGAATCAAGGGTAGACAATGCTTAGGGAAGCAGGGGGGGGGACATCTCTTGAGTCTAAGAAAGTCACAAATAAAGCAATCGGTTCTGGAATATCGAAGCGAAAATATGAGACACGTCTCGAGAGCTCGAGGCCCGACCAGGAGGAAACCCCGACGATTGTTCGCATTGATTATACCATGAATCGGAAGGAATGAGTTTGCCCTTTTCCGGCGTAGATCTTGTGAGAACTGCGATGACTGTTCCGTACATGAATCTGCTTTCTCGGCACAACATGAATAGGCGTCCCGACCTTAATATTGACATTCCGTCGGATATTGCTCTGCATACGTCCGTGTCGACCGGATCTTGCGTCATGCCCAATTCTGGGCCATCTTTCTTCGAAACGGATCTCTGGGCTCATAGGACAGGGAAAAGGACAGAGTGTCCAATGATTGTAATGCCTATCGTTCTCGGCGAATGACTCGATCGATCTACTCGGCTCATTGATCTTGACTCAGTATTGAGTTCTCAGGTGATAGGCACTCTGGTTGTACGTGTGATGACAATGGAATTTCGAAGTGGACATGTTGGACGGCGTCACCGGAAGAATAGGTACCCCCTACGCGAGAGAAGGCGATCCTCCTGGAGACTCTGCATGCCCTCGGGTTTATGAGATCGAGAATAGATTCACTGTGAATTAAAGGAAAAGTGAATCTTCGATGGAGAAAATGGAGGGGACAAATCAGTGAAAGAGATTTGAGACCACATCGATGGTTGTGATGCATGGAGTTTCGCTGCCTAGGAGATTTGATGCCCTCCGCTCTTTTGAGGGGGAGACGGATCGTTTGACCGCAGCTCTCCAGCAGAGATCGGTCTCTCGGTGAGCTCTGTGATCCGCGCTTCCGTGTGTGGCCCGAGGACAGACGTCCCTACCGCGGTCTCGTAGTATGCATTAGCGTTTCGGCTGGGGATGACCGAGCTCTACCCTCAACCGGGCAATTCCTCGATGTTTCGGCATTCCATAATATTCAAATATTGAACGCTAGGACCAAAGTCATCTTAGGCTGCGCCAGGGAATCGACTCGTCTACTCAGGGTATACACTGGGGCAATTCGTTCGTTCGCTCATTCAATTGCGGCCACCCGTGTACGCGTAGTCAGCCTTATTGTGCATGATGAGCTTATCGTCAACAAAATAGAAAGAATCCGATCTAGTCTCATAAGGATTGGCAGTCATCTCGTCGACGAGTTCCTGGCCCAGCTGGGGAAACTCGTATATATGTTCACAAGTATTGCGCGAGTTCGGTATGCAGAAGCCGAACTCGAAGTCAAAGGTTTTCAACAGTTGATCCCGGAAGAAATGTCTTTCGATCATACGGAAGCGCGACACGGGTCGATCGCCGACGGTGAACTCCACCCTGCGAATTCAAATTTGATCCTTCAATTTGTGCTAGGCTCTCTGGGAATCGAGGGACAGTAGTTTTTCGGTAGCGTTCCCTGTGACGATTCTTCGATCACACGACCCGGAACAAGATCCGATGGGCGGGAGAGGATGCGCTCCGGAGCGGCGGAGGTCAATAGAAGTTCCAATGGCTCATTTAGCGAGGTTCGTTTCTCCGAGACTAACTTACGTTGCGCCTACGGTTTTGAGCTTCAAAAACTGCGGTGTAAACTGATACCGAACGAAGCGACCAGCATTAGGATCCGTGATCTCGGGTTCCAGCTCCACGGCGGCGGGGTCGTCTTGGTCTGCAATTTCGGACGCCAGAGAGCTCGATGCTTAAAATCATCAATTCGCTCGTAGAACGATGGGTTTTCTCGAAACTAGGCGATTTTTCCCTGATGCGGAGCCAGCTTCCCCCATGTAGACGTCCAACAGAGACCAAACAAGAGGTCGCTAAAAGTTTCTGATCGGATCTGATCGTCTATCTCCATTCTACTTCCCCCGAGGAATTGATCCATGGCTTCTTAGTGGAGTCAATCTCTACCAGAATTCAAGAGCTCACCTTGTGGGGGAGGTTTGGCAATCTCGAAGAGCACCATTCCGGTTTCCATGTCCCTGATGGTGAACCTGGTGAAATCGATGTTGAAAAGATTCGCTTCCGGTCCGCACAAGTATTCTGCAAGCGAATGCGAACAATGAGTCGCACAGTAATGGATTTCATAGGCCTTCTGAGAACCATCCACACCGATCGACGGCGGAAACAACTAAGATATTGGAGTAAGGTTTTGTTTTTATCGGTTCCATCGATCGCCCGACCACACGGCTTACCCCACTCATTGAAGTTCAAGCCAAACGATACTCCTGAAAATGTTTCGCCCTACCGAGCATCGTGATTTCCGATCGACCATCACCGCCGCGCGAGTGAACCGCGATTCCTTTTTTTCAAAACTGGATCCCGGATCTTGCTTCGAGGCCATATATGTCGACGCGAACTTCGATCGGATTCGGACTCCGAGCAACCGGCCTCCTCCAAGACGAGATTACCCTTCAGATTACTGTTTTCTAGCAGCTCGGAGTTCTCCACGGAAACTCGCTGCGAAGCGAGACTGCGAACTGTTGTTCATCACCTCTCGCACATTAATGTTTCCGGGATGGATTTCCCGGCTCGGACTCCTTCTCTGAGGGTATTCGTCGAAGGCAGACTGTAACGCTTGCATCGCATTTACCGTTTCCTGTCATTATTCATCCACTCTTGATACCTCGCGTGCAAGGTAACAACATGGCGGATTTCTTGCCAGAAGGGTGAGGAGGGGGAGCTTCAGAGCTTCTACTCAGGCCCTCTATGTTTGATTGGCGATGATCGTTCCCCATAATTTTTGATGATGATTGTCATTCATCGAAGTACACAAGGAGCGCCATGTAATGACTCTCGACTCTGAGAAGTTCATCGTGTCTCATTCCTTCGGCCACCAGAGAGCGTAATCTTACGAAACGATCGGATGCTCGACTTGATAAAGACTAGGAGCTCTCGGAGAATTGAACTGAGTCGTAACACCGAACTCCGCTCCCTGCTCGAGCCCTTGCAGAGCGTCGAGCGTCCCGGGCTAGCCTAGGTAACTCATAAATCATGGGTCGAATAGCGGGGGAAGAGGCTAGCGAGTTCATTGTACACAAAACCGGTCCTGCTCGCCGCCCCAACTCACTGATCGTCCGAAACATTGTGCGCGTGGCATCTTGAAGCGGCCGTCGCAGATTCGGTCATATTTTTCAACCCTCTCCGACTGAACAACTATTGTTCACTACTCACCCTGTGTGAATCTGTTCAAGCGAAGGACATCGTCAGGAGTGATAGAGTCTTTATGCATAAGCTCCTCCTCAGTCACGGTGCGTTTCGATTGCGCTTTGAGAGCCATCGACTTCTTCGGAACTGGCGGTTGCTGTTGCGACCCGGGGCCCGGAGGTGCCGCGGCCGGCTTTTTGAGATGCGCACTTGACATTCTATTTATTTATCGCTGGGATATCAGAGGGCTGTAGCTCTAAGGAGTCGTTCAGGATGGGCCGCTGTCACAATGGAACACGACATAGGGGGCGCCTCGGTCGACCATTTGGGGGAGAGATAGGTTCCATTTGCTGCGCCCCCCCCCCCTCGGAGAGTCGACCTGTGGTCGAACAAGGTGTGGACCGCTCGAGGAACTTCCCGCTTCAATCAAGCCATACATTTCTGGTGAGGGACTGATTCGGGTCACAAGCGTTGAGCGCCAGCCTCCGAGGGGCAATATTCCTGATCGTATCCGTAGACGAGTGGCATACTCGGCATATTCCGGAGCGAACTCGAGAATTTCCTCGACCCCGCTACGAATGCTCACTCGTCTCGACTGTCAGACTCTGCTAGACTTGGCCTTCCCGAATCCCTCATTGCTAGAAAAATAATGGGAGAGACCGTCCACGCTCCCCGATCCGATTCGCTCGGAGCTCGCATGACACGTCTCCCGTTTACGAGGTCGACAGTCTCGAGCGAAGCTACATGATAAGTGGCTTCGAAAACTACGTCAGGCACAATCTCCCCGCGAGGATCTTCGCGAAGCTCTCCAGCTCAATTGTTCGATTCTCCGAAGGTTGAGATAATGATCAGGCTCTTGACTTGTGAATGCCGATGTCTCTCGTTCCGGAAGAATTCGCGACATGATGAGAGCCGTGTGGAAGTTTCATTCGGGACTCCCACAGCTCTCATTCCAATGATTGAGAACATGCTCGATTTCTCCATGTTGAAGGAGTCAGCGATTTGGGGAGTACCTTATCGAGCTTCCTCAACTCCTCTATCCCTTCCTCGAGGAGCTTCTCGCGACAGCGCCAGATTCCGTCATCAAGGAACGAAGGGAAAATTCTCAAGACTTTCGGACGGAATCTCTGGAGACGTCCAGATCTCTAGATGATTTTGGATCCCACGCACTTTCAGATTTCGCGCCGGTGAATGTCCGAATGAAGTGTAGACCCACTCGGACATGCACGCTGTCGACATGGCTCACGTCTTGAGGTGCCAAGACTGCAGAGCCGGGACACTCTCCAGAGGGCAAATTTTGAGTTTCGAGTGTCGGAAGCCGGAGATCGGAAAACTACCACCGATTCAATCCAGTGGCAAAATCTCGCGATCTTCCTCCATCTAGTTCTCCACGCCTCAGTGTAATTATTGGGCGTGGGTTCCTCCAACCCCAGCAGGTTACGAAGATTGCGAGCGACTCCAGCTATGGTAGAGTGATGATTAATCAATGTAACTCCGAAGACAGCCAGGTCCGTCCGTGATACGCATTCCTTGCCGATCTTAGATGTGGATAATAGCTGTGGCCCTGACGCTCGCTCCTCACGAAATCGAGAACCGATTTCGCGCCGGAGGCCTTCAATCCGCGACTTCGCGGAATTCCACGAGGATCACGATCGACTTGAGCCTTTCTGAATGAGTTGTGGATAATCGTTTCCGCAAACATTTCCAGCTGTATGGTAATCGTCAGCTGAAGAAAATCTACAATTTACCCCAACGTCGACTGAATCGCGAAGTTCCCAGACTCATCGCTCAGCCTCAGTTCCCGGAGCAACATCCTCATTATTCTTTCAACAGTCAGGGCGGTCCGCCGTACTCGAACCCTGTCATGGATCACCTGACCCTGGCTTTCGATCAAGCCATCCAGGTACCGTTTCCGGATTCCAGAAGTCTCCCCTTGCAGGGTTGAGTGTAGCGTCGTACACGAGAGATAGATCTTTTCGCGACATTCATTCCTCATCTACATTCTTCTAAGCTTGGTCCCGTACCCTCGCAGAATCTTGGTATCTTCCTGGACACATTGACGGCTCCACCGACGGCTCCGCATTCAGTTCAGATGGGGATCGCCGGAATGAACACGGTCATAATCGACTACCTTAATCTCCTCGAAGCTTGCTGCGTCAATCATCCAATGCTGAAAAGCAAAATCCAAATGATTACGCAGAAGCTGGTCGCTCTACAAAACACGGGGAGCCTGCCCTCGAATCAGGGAGGGACCATGGCCGCGTTCTCATTCCCTCAGCAAGCAAGACCTGCACCCAATCCATGCTCGATGATGGTGCCGGGATCTCCGATGATGGCGCCGGTTCCCAATGTTCTGCCGCCTCACGTTCCCGGCTGTTACGGTGCCATCGGTATGAGCCCTCCGCACATGGTTCGTGTATCCTTCAATCCCATCCATTGATTGATTGCTATTCAAAATTCGATATTTTACGTATTCGGGTTGTTTGATGCTCAGAGTTCTCAAATTATCCTCTCTTGAAACTTTGTACAGCAGAACCGCTCTCGCCAGACCCAGATGCCGATGGATCCGAATCGAGGGAATTCCGGGTTCCGGACCAGCATGGGTCACCCTACATTCCTGCCGAGTTCTCCTTTGGAGTTCTATCCGACCCCAAATCCAAGTCCGCCGCTGAATGTGCACCCCAGCTTCCTCATGAGCGGTGAGTTTTGTTCAGGGCGTTGGAATTGTGAATTATCGAAATGTGATTAGGAAAATCTCATCTGGCAACCTGTATCGATCGCCTGACAACGGGAAACTTGCAGACTGCGTGACTGGATTCTCGTCGAATAAGCCCAACGAAGCCAATGTGGCCAGCGCGGGTCATCAAATCATTTAGCCGCGGCACTCGGAGAAACTGAACTGTTAGGTATCGTCTTGAGCTCAAAAGATTGTTAGGTATGGAACCCATCGATAACATTATTGTGGTGTAATCTGGGAATTGGTCCGAGGATTGGAGTTCCCATGATCTTTATTCGCTGCTGTATATTTATTAAACCTTCCGCACAATTCGTAAGGAGGCTATCATGATGCGCGAAGAATTCATCGAGGAATACTGTGTGCAGCCACTATGTTATCTGACGTGCACAGCTCCTCAGTGTCCTCAATTCAATCACAAGCAATCTCCTCATATGGCGAAATACGAATTGAAACAGATATTCGAGCTCGGCATTGTGAATCGCAATTCTGTCTACTTTATTAGCCGAACGAACGGGATGTCGCGATTCGCTGACGAGCTCCTAGGTTTCAATCGGAATTTCTTCAGTGAGCAAAAGCATCGTTGGGAGACGTACCATGCGACAGACTCGTTAAATTCCTCTGAGGTTCGCCCCTGCTATCCTGATGGAGGAGCCTCGCCGATATCCTTCTATATCTTCCTCCATTGTCGACTATCCAGGCGATCGTACTCCCGTGGGCGGAAATTGCGTTTGAGCGAAGTTTGAGTCTCGCATCGTAAGACGCGGATGTTCCACAAATAAGTCCGCAAGTATCGATCAAGTTCCCCAATCAGTCGCATTTCAACGAGCACTGATTCAATAGAAAGTTTCTCGATATCATCACCCACAGGTCTGAATGTTCAAAAAGGAATCGTGATGGCTCGGGGAGAATCAGAGGGCATAGTCGAGTTTGAACTGTGGTACTGAGCTTGAATAAAAGTCTGTAAAAACCGTGAGCTAAGACATGTGTGTCTTCATTCGGCATAGCCGGGTACGAATATACGAAATTCTGTCTTCCTCGTTAGACAGGGTGTCTCGATAGAAAAGATCAGATCGACCGGACAGCGACTTTGTTGACATCACTGAAGCACACCCGACAGCCAGCGTAGATACGAGATCATTTGAGCTGACCCGGCCGGACAGCAACCGATGTTGCCTGACAACCTTGAGTGTGTCGAGCGGTTACTGGATATTGATTGATCGTCCTCACGAGTAGGCTGTCCACAAGATATTTGAGAAGCGCCCCCGTGAACGTCCTGCTAGCCTTTCAATCGCGGTCAGAAAATACAAGCGATCGGAGGTTGGATTCCATAGGAAGGGCCTACACCCGACCGGTCTGTAGAATAGTGATAGACAAGTCTTCGACGGCCGGGATAGGGCCGATATATGTATGTGCATGTGATTCGATAAATGTGTGCTCGATGGGGTATGCGAGTAGCGTGTATATTACAATCCTCCCCTACACCCTTTAATCAACGAAAAGTCCTTCTCCAATTCTTATAGAAGCTAATGTGAAGACAGCCTGAGCGCGAATCGATTAGACGTGCGCGCACACTGGCAGACGGATAGACGAGCTCCCTCAAGCAACACATGATTATCTACATTTTCATGCAGAATACAGTATTTTTCTCGGAGATCGAGGAGCTAGGCATCAGAATACCGTGGAAGAATTATTCCTGAAGTGAATCTCATTGCTGCCCACGACGGAGAGGCTAATCTTGACGGAGATCGACCATTCAGCTCGCACTCTCCATGCGGCTTTCTCGATGAGATTCCCACCGAACTTGAGAGGACTTGTGAGACCGGAGTTTGCGACGGGCATACTCTTCGTGACTAGGTGACCGATCAGAATATGAAAGGCGAAGGGCTCCCGATACTAAGCAGCCGGATGCCAGAGGAAAAATGACTCATCATTCATCAATGCGACTTGCAGTGGATTCATTGATTGACAGCTTTATTCATCCTTTGCTCGATCTGGGTAAACTTCAAATAGTATATCTTATCGTTTCCCCAAGAACTACTGTCGACTTTGTGCTCGGATCGACCGCGACACTACCACGGATCATTCCCTGCCCGCTGGTCGCGCTCTACGATCTGGATCCCTTCTCGAGTTCGATCATATGACAATATCTTCATAATTATGTATTTTCAGAATCCAAAGAGTCTCAAGGCTCTCCGACAAAAGCTCTGAAACAACAAGATTCGACGCTCGATCCCGAAAAATCGGATATCAGATCATCGAGAAACTGCGAGGAAAATCCTCCCCGACGGAGTCTCTTCACACGTTCTGGTTTGATGTCTGTGGAGAAACCAAGGGCTTCGAAGTCCGCAGAGCTCCGTCGGCTTTTTCGTCAACCTGCCCCGCCTGTTCATCGTTCTCCTGATCCTCTCGCTCTGCTGCATCATCGTCTCTGCAGGATTTGATGTATTCGATAGCTTCGAGGACCAAGTGCAGGCGGACTTTTGCCAAGAACATGCGCTTGAGAGATTGATTCACTGAGCGTCGATCGTTAACTTCCTCTTTCCGGGCCGCGAAAAGAGCGTCGACCGCCAAGTCGCACAGCCATTGAACGACGCGCTGCGGGGCTTTGTTTTCCATAGAGAACAGGGTCCGGGGTGCGTGTAACAACATTTGGAGAACGGTCGCGGCGAGTTCCGGTGTCGGTCTCTGGGCGGGATCTCGTTTCAAGCAGTGTTTGACCAGAGTCCGAACAACCGGGGGAGCACCGAGCAGCTCCGGCACGTCCCGATCTGCGTAGCTCCTGGCGGAGAGATGCCCTTCGAAAAACGGATTCTCTTGCCCATAGATCTCGTAGACTATGGTCGCGATGCTCCAGAGATCTGCGCGGGAGTAATCGATGAAACTCAGGAGACCTGCCTGTGCCGTCTGGACTTCCGGCGGCATCAGAGCGAGATTTCCACCTCTGGAACGGAGAGAGATCTTCTCTTACCGACTCGGTGATCACTTGGATCGGGAAGCTACTCTGATATGATGAATATACGTCGAGGACCTCGATACTACGATCAATTTCCAAGGACAGACTCGAGCACCTACTTCGAAACCTGCTTTGAAGTATAGGCGAGTTTTAGAGGTTTTATGCAATCTGCTCGGGTCAGACAGCAACCGAAGTCCGATAGGGCCACCTGTATCTCGCCGGGACGATTCCCGATGTCGACTAATATGTTGTCAGACTTCAAGTCGCGATGGGCGACTCCGTTTTGTACGAGGTGAGCCACAGCTGCGAGGGGAGCGAAAGCGTCATCAACCGTCTCGATGCGAGGTTGTGTATTGAAAACCAGGGACTGTTTTTCGAAGTTCAATTCGTCGCGTTTTCCATCCCTGTCTCGTATATGAAAAACTCAATACCTTCGAATAATTGGACGCTGAGAGACAGTTTCATTTTCTCCGATAGAGCTTCGTTCTGTTTCGACTTCTGGCGCAGGAATGCACGGAGACTGCAGTTGTACCTGAGAGCGAATCAGAGACCATGAAAGCTTTTTCGAGCGCACCCAAACCTCTAGATCTCGCGGCATAGCAGCTTCGCCGAGAGAAATGTGGAGCTTAAGGGCTCTCGAGGTTTACTCGACACCGCGATATTGAATTCTAACCTTTTCATCACGAGAAACATTGTAGCGTTTCTACCGATTCCTTGATCGTTCAGTCGTGGAGGTAGAGCATGGGGGTAGAGCTGTTTGGCTCCTCGCAGCAGGGGAACTCGATCGGCGAAAGTAATCTGGGAATGAAGGGGAAGATCGGTCAAACTCCCGGATGTCCAAGGAGCTCCGGGTTGTGGGGCGGTACGAAGGAAGAGTTCGTGGACGATAAGTGGCAGTGGAACGATTGATAAGTACCTTGATGTCCACTATACACGGATGTGAAGGCAAATGTGTTTCTTTTGTCTCCGAGAATTGATTGTTCGCAGTCGGAGCACATTCTCGAGCCAAGGAGTTCCAGATCGCGGCGGAATTACTCGCTGCGTCATAGTTGAACATCATTTTGATGGCCAAGTCGAAAGAATCCGTCGAGGCATTCTCGACCTGTCGATGAGAAAATGCAGCGGTTTGTCGAGGTGCCTAATGTACTTCCCTTCCTTCGCTCTATTTCTCGACTGAGTAAGCTCCTTCGATTGGAATTCGGTGATCATTACCTCGATCGGGACGTCGACGGAACCCGCCGGCGATTCGAACTCAGCGGCATATTTCCGTGGAGGCGACGAAGACAGCGGCGGGGACTCAGCGATTGCGTCGACCAGTTCCTGAAAGCGCAAGTGAAGGCAAGACTCGCAAAGGCTGTCACGTTCTGATTCCACGATGGTCTTGGACCCTCCTCGGACGTCAGGGATTCGTCGACACGTGCTTACCTCATCCACTTCTCTGATCGAGGAACAAGAAGGTTCTTTGGGCTCGTAGCGCGCTCGATAAACCACCGCGTTGCAACCCTTGGCGATGGGATCGCCGATTTCGAAGTCTGACAAGGTGATCTGCTTATCTTCGGGGATGGTCAGCATTGATTGGGTGTCAACGTCGAAGTTGATCTTGTCGACAATATTCTGCAAAAGGATCATTTAGTGCCTCCGACTCCACCTCCATTGTACAATCTCACGCTGCCTAGGGCCTAGGACACACGAGTCGACTCACCCGGATTTCAACACATACGCCTTCCAGTTCCTCATCTGGAGTTACAAGGCTCGGTTTATCGACAAGGCACAAACCTGTCAATCCCAACAAAGGAACGCATTGCCGCAATGCTAGGATTCGCTGAACGGCCTGACGACTAAGGGAAGCCGCCTGGAAGAAGAAACTCCCATGAAAATTAAAGCGACCCAAGGTGCATGTCAAAGAATCGTGGGTCTCGATGTGCTCCCGGGTCGAACAAAAGTAGCTTCCCGGAATATTCTGATGATCACAAACCTGAGTGTCGCGATGACCATATCTCCTTGCGATCCTCGCCACGAGGGACTCCTCTCGAGCCAGTCCCTCATGAGCTCCTCTCGATCCGGATGGAATTTGCTTGACCTTACCCACATTTGCGACCTGAACCGACCGATTTACCGGTAAAGCACGAGGCCCAGACCTGCCTCTCAGACCGCTAAGCCTGAAATTCGTTTGATTCTGCTCAGTAACTATTAAGCACCAGTTTGCTGTGTCACAACTCGGCATGAATCTGTCAATCGTCACCGATCCTACGTAGTCTCGAAATTATTCAAAAATGACAGGCATTTCCGAGTAATAGCTCGATGAGTTAGCGATTCTGTGGAATTATTTAGGATCGATCTCTGATTCTTCTCTCGATGAGACTATTCTCCGAGCGATTGATAAATCAATGCCGTCAGCGAATTGCAAAGAATAACTTAGGCGATTGCGATTCAGCATCGAAATAAATTTACATGACGATTCAAGAGTCTCGCTGGAACCCCTCGGAATCCGCCAAGGAAGGGATTGATCACTTCCTCGGTTGATCGAATGAGCTGCGAAGTCAATCGCCCGGAAAAGATTTCCCGTATGCGTAGTCAAAACAGCTTTCTCGATTTTTAGCAATCCCCGATATCACACGTACTCACATCGGACTCGCCACAGATACGGCAAAGAAAGTCCGCCGTGCAACCCGTCATCGAGTATGACAGTACCCACGTCAGCCAGAGACTCATAGATGGAGACTCGAGCTTAGCAAATAGCCAGCACGGGCTCAGAATCGCTGACTTGGCCTTGAGCCGGAAACCTCGGACCTCACAGCCGGGAAATCAGCCGACCGAACATTAAGATTGGCAAGCTCATTCTAACTTCGAGAGGAAAGACTGATCTCGTCCAGGATACCCATATCCGGAATGACAGAGTTTAATATGGGGTAATTCCTAGTCGCGATCCAATGACATTAACGTTGATTCATTCAAGAACTATCACATGGAGAGAAGAACCCTCGCGACCGTCCGTTCGTATCATCTGGAGACTTCTGCCGGACAGTGCTTTGTCATCACTTCCCGATCGGTGATTCGAGAGCGACGAATGCTTCTGGAAAAGTACAGCTCAGAGAGGAGCTTACCTCGAAATCGCGGTCCGAAAGTAGCTCTTCAAGAAATACTCGAGAGGTACTGACTGCACGAACTGGATACAAGTCCTAGGCTTTTGTAATGCCAAGTACCATCGAGTCACGGTGATTAGAGCTTTCATGGCTGGCGCATCGCGCACTCTTCAACCCTTAGGGGATCTTGAGCTCCGCGGTGAATGTCAGATCGAGAACTGGATTCGGTAGTTTTCACCAACAATAATTATTACTAAACTCTGGCAACTGTCGGCTGCTTAGCCTCCTGCTTCTAGTCGATGTATATGCGTCCAATGTGAAAAGATCGAATCCTCGACAGCTCAGAGGAGAGTGCGGCGAGAGTCAGCGGGAAGTGACTTTGCAACGAGAAGACGCGGAGCCGGGCTCGATTTCCTCGTATGTCGACGGAGCTCGATTTCCCTCTGACGTTTCGACCCCTCGATGTCGACGCATTTCTCGACGGGGAAAACTCTTGCGTCTCGGACCTCGACACCCCTCAGCCGATGCACGGTCCCTGAAACACCGGCTGCGAATGAACGCATGACCTGCGGCGCGAACTTTCGAACCGGAAGGTTTGCGGTTTCGGTCTTCATCTGATAGGAACACGATATCGCCGCCACGGAAACATGGGTGGAAGATGAGATATCCTCCGCTTCGATGAAAGTCTGACCTGTATGTCGACATTTCGACGGACGACAGTCTGTCGAGACGGGTCGAAATTCGAAACTTCTTGAGGACTTGTTGTCCAATTCTCCTACCGAGATCGCTTGCTGTTAGCGTCGGATAACCGTGGGTAGAGTTCGTTTATCTTCCGTGCCCCAGAGTCGAGAAAGCCTCGCTTTTCTGTCGAGAGCCGATATCATTCCTCCCGCCGAAAACGGAGTCTCATATAACCATGTTTGTCCCCGAGCACGGCGATCTCCGCAGTGGTAATCCCGACTCCGTCTTCCCGCCGACCCCGAGTATCCAGAGCCTCCCGTTCCCTGACATCTTTCCCCCGCGAGATGAAACGCGTCATTACGGACGACTTATTCTGAAAATCTCTTCTTGATAGGGGTTATCCCTAGAATGGCGCGATCGACTCTGGCGCACATTAGGCTCCGGGCTACGACTCGTTAGTCGGTCTTTCGAAGTTCTTCAGTCGCGTACTCCCTCGGCACGAGGGTGACGGCTCCCTTCAGGGTCAGGGATCGCTTCCATATATTCCTGAGCGGCTTTTCCCGAAATCTCATGACCAATCCAAATCTCTCCATATCCGGCCTCCGTCCACCTCACCCCCGCTCAACTCCCGATCTCATTGATCGCGTTCGAGGCATTGCCTCGAGCCGTATGAGTTGAGGGGCCAGACCGGGTATGTTTGACCAATAAATGTGATTGATTATGTTCGATCATGGAAAATTATCATAATGAAATATCAACTGATCATAACGAGTCGTTACAAAGCCAATAGGAATCGGGATATCATCTTTATATGTCGGTCCGAAGGGGAATCGAGGATCGAGCATGTTCTTGATCGATGCAGGAGCCGAGCGGCTCACGGCAGCGGTACATCCGACGCGGAGTCATTTACCTTCCGAAGATGGCATCCGGTGGGGGTTCCCGGAATTAGCTGGAGCAAAGCTCTAGCTCTGTATGCATCATAGATGCTTGAGATGCGTGAATGTTCGAGTCTACACGATCCTCAGGCTATGGCCTGAAATTCCAGGGAAAGAGCAGCTTTTTAGAGCTGTCGATGTCCCTCGATTCGGTGCCTACAGCGACTCTCCTCCTGGAAAGCTCGCGGAAGACGAATCTCGCAAAGCTGTGCCTGTCAAGCAACGATGCAATTCATAGCACCGGCCGGTATTCGAAGAATTAGCCGACTGAGATATACGCACGTAGATCCGTAGATGTATGCTGAATATATGTACAATTGACCAATCCTGTGACACTGCCTGGAGGAAATCGAATCGCTGTGGAAACAGTGCCCTTTCAAGACAAACGAAGGATGGGACCCCGGGGAATTCCTAAACAGAAGCTCCGAATGCCCCAATGGGACAGAGCACTATTGTAAGACGCGTTGGTCGTTCCCGAGTCATCGCAAAGAAACACAGCGCGTATTGGTGGTTTCCCCAGAAGTTTTAGTTTTTCAGTTTATTTTTTATGCTCGTCTCTCGATCACTCATTCCGCGCGGTCGAACCACGTCAAGATCGTTCCGACAACCGCTCCCTTGGCGACAATTTATTTTCTCCCTTCTTTTTTTCTGTTCCATGATCGATGAACTCGCGACCATTCTCGCGCGAAAACACATTTGGCACCCACGTCCAGCTACGCAATGTCACATCACCGGGGTTGCACAAAATTGCAGTGGCCTCGAGCAAACTGATGAACGATTAATTCCGGAGTCGTTTCTTTCCACCATCGGACCCGGTGAGCTCAAATAAAGCGGGAGGGAACAATCCGAATCCGATACCCGGGATTTCCCCCCCCCTCCGCTTCGATTCCAGCGTGCGATTCCCGTCCTAGAGAAGATCTCGAAGATGTACGATTTTTATTTGATATTTCGTCATGTCACGTACGGTTCTCGACCGCCCATTCTCCGGGGGTTCTCTCCCCACGATAGCTGCTACCCGAGGTCCACGCCGCGGTCTGGCGCTGGTTTTGGAATAGACTTCGATCCCACCGATTTTCAAATCTCACTGCGGAATAGAGTCCACTTCACCTAAACAATAAACCCAGGGCATTTTTTTCGTGTTCTTCTTGCAGTTCTCCTCGGCGAATTTGCAATGATTTTGATATCGTCTGCCGTCCGACCCGCAGACCGGATCGTTGATATTCAGACACTTCGTAGGACATCGGTCGTCGAAGTTCACGCAAGCTTTCAAAGGGAGAATTTTGATTTCGTTCTCCTGACCACACGTGGCTTTGCGGAAAAAGCACTCGTTATAGTGAACATCACCCAACGAGTCGCATACGGGCTCGTAGATCGGCGCACAATCCTCGGGGCATTCGATTTTTCTTGCCTGCCGTTCCCGGGTCATGCATGAGACGAGGTCTTGAGTTTTCATCCTTTTCCCACAATTCTTCCTTTGCATGACGCAGTAGTTGATGTAGATGATGTTGTCCTGCCCGCAGACTGGATCGTAGAGATCGAGACACTGCGGGAGTTCGCATGCGGTCAGGGAAAAGTATATTGGGATCAGATAACGATCGGCCAGCGATTCCTTGCGGGGAAACTTACCTTGTCCGGACACAAGGATTGTTTATCGATGCACGCATCCCAATCCTGAGCGCTTATCAGCACTTTCTGCTTACATGCGGCTTTCTGCATGGCGCATTGCGAACTATAAACGTTACCATCCGTTCCGCACACCGGCTTTGGGAACTCTTCTGTCTCGTTGCACGCTCTCGAGCATTCTCCGGGAAGATCGGAATCAGCGCAAACAACTAAAGAAATTTTTAGAATGAACACAAGAGAAACGACCAGCCGGGACATCTTCGGTCGGTCAACGTCAGTGAATTACGTCTCGCTTCTCGTGGGTCTCTGGAGACCTCAGATGTCGGTGAAGAGGAGGACTTCGTCGGGATTTCATCGATTGGAGAGAATTCGCGGTCGAAGAACGCATTCTCTTTCCTCCATCAGAGCGTCTTGTAACGCAGCAGTCGAGCCACCCACGCCCGAACTGTCGCCCCCTCAGAACAGAAAGCAGAATTTCTTCCTCAGAAATCGTCTGTGGCGGTGGCGGCTGACTCGTCTGCGGAATGCTAGACAAATTGTACGCGAGTGGCGATCCGCTCTCCTCCTCTGCCCCCTCGACGGAACCCCGGTGTCACCAAGATTTCGAACATTCAACGCACCTTGATACCTAGCGTCGATCAATGTCTGACTTGGTTCCTGGCGATTCCAAGCGAGAGCTCCGGGTATTTCCGGAATTCTCCCTAAACGCATTCGTTTCCGGGAAATTCAATTATGAGTCGTCTAGAGTTGTCTAGGTCTCCTTTATTTAACGAATCTTTTTCTACTCCTTGAGTCTCCGATTCTCTCGCAAGCAGCACCCTGTTTCTTCTCGTTTGCTTTCGATACCTATAGCTGCCTTTTCACGTATCCGGTGGCTGCTGTCTCCGATCGGGACCTCTCGAATTCACAAACTATCTAAACCTTCACTCTCGTATCCAAAGACAGACTCGGAGACGCTTCGTAATGGGGCTTCTGGTTACGTTTTCCGTATGGCGGCGTTTGAGCTCGAACATTCTGAGGTCGCGGTGTCGTCCACGGCGTCGTGGTGACCTCGGTCGTCGGTCTAGGAGCCCGAGCGGCGAGCACGAAGGCTTCCTTCTTCTCGATATCTTGCGATGTATGGAGAGGAGCGTCTTCGATTCCCAAATTATCGTTCAAGTAGAAAAAGTCTACCGAATTCTCACACGGGATCGCATCGTCTGGGAAGGCACACGTCATGGAGAGCTGATCGAAGACGGTCTGGTTCCCGCAATAGAATGAGTATTGCAGAACACTTTCGCGTCCTTCCTGCTGAACTGGGTTGCAGATGTGGAAGATCATACAGTTGTTGTCCATGTCCGCGTAATAGCCGTACCGGTTTCCTTCGCAGTTGAAAGTTGACCGGATATCGCCGACCACGAGCTGAGCGCCGTCCGGGAGCTGGATCGCCTGCTGGTCCGAGGTATCTCTTCGAAACCGACCTCTCACCGAGGCGGCATTAGTACCGAACACCGAAACACCTGGAGAATTGAAAAATCACTCAGGTCTCCGACTGAGAGGAGGGACTCACCTCATTCGGAGTTCCGAGCGCGGGTCCCTCTCGGTGCTAGAAACTCAGGTCTCCCCCTATACAGATCTCCCTCCGCCGAAATACTCACAGGCGATGAGACACAGTTGGACGTGCATGGTGGCTGTACTGTTTTCTCGGTAGATCAGTAGAGGAACAGTCAGTTCTGATCGAGACTAAGATCAGGGAGCGGCTTTTAAGCGATTCAAGCCCTTACCTCAGCGGAAAAACCCTCTCTTGAGGACGAGCACCTCAGTGACCGGTGGCGAATCGGATGCACTTCAGTTCATGCCATTCCGTAATTCACGTATTCTAATGCCGCAGTCTCGGCTCCTGTCGGCCACAGAGTGTCGTTCAACTCGTAGAGGTCTACGCTTACATAACGGACGGGTGGCGCAGAAATTCATGAATTCGCAATGAATCTGGCCCGTGGCACAGTTTTCCAGACTAGAAATTCAACCGCTACCGATGCATCCAATTCTAGTTTTTCCCTTTTTCCTCGAGGATTCCGTCTCATTGATCCCGACGCTCAACGAATTACTCCAACTGAGATTCTCTCATTATTCATGGAACGCCGATTCCGTGAACTCGGAGAGAGTAACATGGAGGAGTCATGTCGATAATCTTCCGCGAGAAGCTGAACACGATGTAAGAGCATCGGAAATAAATAAAGCCAGATATAAAATCGAAACCATCGTTTATTATTAAATCATATTCCCCGAATCTGCTCAAGAGAATCCTATAATAGACTCAACGAATCGCCTGATCCATCTCTTCGGTGCCCGCGAGGGGCACGAGAGAGGCTTTCCCGAGAGAACGGAAACGTTTCTCCGGATAGAGTATATCTGATGAATTATTATAAGTGCTTGAGAAAGTTGTCAGACTTAATGGTACATGCTCGACAACAACCTTTCTCCGTATTGAGCCAACAATATTTCTTTTCTTGACCATCGTAGTGATGGGATCTCCAACCTCGCGGTTCTGACATCATACCTACCATAGGATCATGACATCAATAATACTGATGATAACAATGTCTGTGCACCATGAAATCCAAGAACAAATTTCTAAGATATGCATCGGTTCACATCGATATATTTTTTACAAGATCTGACACCGAGAGCGGGAAGATATCAAGTACTCAGCGTTCTCGCTGGGATCCGGATGGCGTTCTGTCCGCCGCCGTCCATTGACTGGACTCACAGTCGCACTACGCCATTGTACGCATAACGACTCGACTCCCCTCGTTCGCTCACTGATCCCCTCCCGCATACTCTTCGTGCGATCAGTTGTCTGATCTTAAAGCGAAATCCCTTCTGGAGCATCATGAAGAATATCCGTGGCTCGATCACCATTCGCTTCTCTCAGCCAGAGTTCAAGCTCCCTCGAGCTGAGAGAATAACTAGTAAACGGCTGACATATGAATTACGGGGTTCTGATATTCTGCTTGCATCACATTCGGAGATTACTGCGGGATCCCTGTCCGATGACCCGGAAAAAGGACAATCCGCCACGTGATCACAGGCGACGTATCACTAATGAGAGCATGGGAACGTTCGAAAGTGGGGAACTCGGATTCCTCTGCAACCTTAGCCACTTTGGGATTACCTTGCCCCTTTTCTAGGCGATTATATCACAAAACTTGGCCGCATAAGAGCACATCTGATTGAATGTTTTCTCCCGAGGCTCACAACAAATCCCTTGCGTCGTAGAGTCCCTCACGAAGCGACAGGTCACGGTGCTCTGCGAAGATGGAAAATTATTAGATCAGCATGGTTTCCGTCGATGAACTCTGCAGAAGTCCCTTCAGCTCCGGCACGCTGTCGGGTCCTTCACCGTTATCGTATCGCCGTAAATTTCACTCAGAGCATCTGCGTAGCAAACTCACCCGGAAATGCTTCACATGGGCGAAGAACACGTGTGCCTCCGCTTCTCCGTAGAAGCTTATTAACCAGGTGAAGAATGATTTGGGATCTTTTTTGCTCCGCGCCACATCTTTCAGATGCACGCATTCGACGAGAAACGAATTGTGATGGGTAGCTATCGAATTTATCTGTTGAAAGCTGACCCTCTCGCGCACCTCGGGTCCCTGACATATGAGCAGACTGTCCGTCTCTAGAACGACACTGCATAAACTAGCGCCCATGGTCCCCTGGAAAATGCGAAGAATTAGCGCCTCGGGGGCCGCGGATAACGACCCGAAAATCGAACTGTGCGGAAGTTCAGCGACGAACGAAGCAGCCGGGAATCTCACTCGCGTCAGGACCGCTAAATCCACCATGACGCGCTGCCTTGGTCTTCTTGCCGTATAATGAAGTATTTTTCGGGACTCACCTGTGGCCCGTTGTTTTTCGTAGGAGAGTTGGATTTCCCATTGCTTCGATGCTTCTGATAGCTCCTGAGCAAGGAGTGGAGCCATTCCGAGAATTCGAATTCACTTTCAGCGGCCAGTTCCAGGTTGGGTTCATTGCTCCACAGAACTCGGAACGAAAACGGTTTCGGATTTTCCATGCATAGTTGAACGCCGCCACAGGCCGGGTCCCTGAAATGCAGAACAGTCACAATAAAATCACTCCACCTTCAGCCAGCCGCCCAGTCGGCCGATTCTCCCTCCTTCGTCGTCTGACGTCATTGGAACGGATCGTGAAGAAACTCACGCCAAACTGTAGACAGCCGTCGGAGTGACATCGCTCTCAAGATCGTACTGTTCTAATGTAGTCCCTTTGAGCTCGAATCGAGCGCTGCGCCAAAGTATTGTACTTTCCATTCCCCGTTGGATTCTCTTCGGGACATTCCTATAGTACAAGCGGGACACGATCATTCGTGAGAGACTGGCATTCCTCTCGTAGACTTCTCTCGAGGCGAACCTCTCGCATGAGCCCCAGAGCACATGCCGGACAGGGGCCCAATCCTGCAGATAAGGAAGAAGGAAAAAAAACACCGCATTAGATTCCGTAGAGGATAGCCCCATCGTGTCCGGTCAGATCTAAGGACTGGGACTATATGTAGCGTTCTGGACAGGATCATCGCTACGGGAGGTCAAAACACCGGTCCCACCTTGAGCAAGACGGTCGTAGGGCGACAGTTGTGTTTTATGATGGGCAGAGCCTTGTCTTTGACACCCAGTCGTCTCATGGCGATTTCCAGGTGGCTCACGACCCACGTGCACTGCTCTGCGCAGAGCATCACCAGCTGAAGATTGGCCCCGGTAGCTTTTGCAGGCGCATAATCCGGACTCCGAAACACCTTTAATGATTCCAATAATCTCCGATCCTCAATCGTTCCGATTGTCATCGTCGTTTCCTTGGACTGTCTCGGGCTCTCCGCGCACCACCGATCGATTTATCTACTATGCCATCCGACATCAGCTTGGAAGATGCTCAAAAATTCTCTCACCTCGCGAGGAGAAGTCCAAACAACCTCGATAGCCTGGTAGTCTAGAGCCAGCCATAGTTGTCGGATATGCAGTAAAGGCAATGAAGCCACCAAAGTCAACGAATAGCCGTCGGTGGTTTTCAATAATATCAGTCTTTGGTTCGTCAACACCAGGAATATCAGCGAGAGATGCTGCTGTTCTACTCGGTAATAGTAACTGAGGAAAACCTGCGGAGAGGATTCTGGATGTTTTTGTTTTCTTTGCTTGTATCGAAATAGAGATAATCGCCGATTTGTGCAATGTCTTGAACGGAGAATCCACCAAAATAGAAATCGATACGTTTCAATAGGAGTGACACTCCTCACGCACCTTGTAGAAAGATTCGTCCTCTTCTTCGAATAAGTCTTCCACGTATTTGAGGAGCGATTCTTTGGCCAGAAGTTGAGCTATATCGAAACGCTCCGCTCCCGATACTTCGATTTCGTCTAGCGGCACGCCTTCCTCCAGCTGTAAAATCGGGGAGCATCGGTGAGGTCTTCAAAAGGGTCATATTGAGGAGGAATAATAATTGGAAGACACCGATGGGCTTCTGGAGCGAGCACGTCGCAAGGCGCCAGGGCGGATAGGATGAGTCCTCATTCTCGGGGGGAACTCGAGCTTACGGAATCGTTTCTAACCTCGATTGCGCGTTCCAGGCTGTCCGGCCCGAGGCTATCGAATTGTCCAGAGATCGGCTCCTGAACGAACGGTGATGAGGTGAAAGAGTGGACGTCAGCCTGAACTGTGACAGATTTGGCTAGAAAAGAAGAGCTCCATTGGATCCATATTGTCGTTCTTCCATTCGATGCCCTTATCGACGCATAGCCTTGTGGAGAATCCTGCGTCGAGGACTCGAGTTACCCTTAGTTTGCGAGACGTCTTCATCGTCCGAGGATGGGCACGACCAGTCGTTCGGAGTTGTAGAATTTTTCCGGAGGTGATTGTTGTTTTCGTGGAAGCCGTTTTGGATTTCCTTCTTGGTCGAGAAGAATGCCAGTTGATCGAGTGATGAATCATTCTGCACGAAGACATCGTAATCGTCATCGAAATCAACCGATAGGAGCAGCCCGTACGAACTGCGCAGCGCTGGGTGAAGAGTTCCGATCGGAGGATCTACTCATATACGGGTCAAAAAAGTTCCGACTTCTCCCACTTACCAACACAAAAGCGAATCGGAGGTTACTGAGCCGCGCGAGATAATGTATCGTCACTTTCAGTCGCTAGAATAGAGGAATTTTCATTTCAAATACCCTTGTGGCTGGAATTGTCGGGACAAGTCATTGGCCAGGTCCCGAAAAGCGTCCACAGAATCATTCTTTCTTCGACTTTGATAGGAGCGCACGAATGCTCACCAATGTATCACGAAGGAGTGCGTTGTCGAGGAAATATTTCGTAACTAATTTCCGGTTGTAAACAAATGATTGGAAATAACAAACTACGAGACCACTCTGCAAGGCCCCGAGGAGCCAGGCTCGGCCGTAACCGAGATTGGAATTGACTTTAGGTAATGAGATGATTTCTCGCGTAGTTTCCTCATGGCTGAATTCCTTCACAAACGGCCAATATCCGAGCAGCGGCGTTCGGAGCCTGGAAGATTGAAGAGAGGCGTTCATCGTGGTCTGAGATCGAAGAATTATTGCCTGGAGTCGCCTGTGTAGGTGGACTCAGAGACTTACCCGTATAGAAGGATCCGATCCAAATGCTCACTCAGGTAGCGAACTTGCCACACTTTTGTCGTCAGCTCTTCTCCGCAGAATATCCGTTCGAGCTGAAAATCGGGGGGCTTAATGCAAGCGCTCGAAATTTCCATTCATTTCCAATTTTCAATTATTCGGGGAAATGAAATCATTATCTCCGATTGCCCCGATCCTTATCGATTCGGAGGCGAACTCATGACCTCTAGAACGCAGATCATCTGCCAAAGCGGTGGCCTAGTAAATCTTGACCATTCTTCATCGAGATACACTGAAGTGAAATGGACCGCGTACTCTAACACTCTCTCTTATTCAGCGATATCTCCCGAGCCCAATCGAGTGCGATTCCGATTAAGAATTTCGTCATGCTTCATGTCATCATGATGATCTTACTATAAGATCGACAAAATCCAGAAAGTCATTGACATATTCAAACGTCAGACAGGGTTGTGGAAGCCGGCGCGGCTCTTTCGACAGAGCCGTCCCTTGACGGAATGCCCCTGGTCGGCCATCGCATCGTCCCGAACTAATAACATGACGATTGCTGATGGGAATCATGAAGCTAACCTCGACCAATCGGTACTTCTCGAAACGCTGCCTTACATTCGATAACTTGGATGACTCAGAAAATTCTTCAATCTTGTGTCAAATGATGATCTATGGTCTTCAATAGCGCGAGGGTAGATTCAAGAGGAGGGCAAGGAACTCAGAGGATCTCAAGCCGAAAATCGTCCAAAATCGGGGATTCATTCCGTGGAAAGCGCGCTTTAAGAACAGCTAGCGCCACAGAAAGCAAGCGGAGCTCTTGCTGGCCTTTCCGCACGGTTTTGTTGAGAGCCAGAAGGAAAAGAGGAAGACGAAACGATTCGATGTCATGACTCATCCGACGGGTTTGCTTTCCTAACATGTCTATTTGAAGTTCAGCCAGCGAACGTATGGAGACAGGCGACTCTCTCAGCAACTCCCGCCGAGATTGCGCCTTGCACACCTTGCTCCTCACAAGCTGGCAAATTTTCCGCAACTCGTCATAGGGAGTCGACGAAGTGTCAGGAGATAACGCGAAAGGGTTGCGCCGATTGATCATCGGGAGCAAACGTTTCGTCTGATCTCAGGATGAACCCCGCGAGGAAAATGTGGAGCATCGACAGTGATTTCGGGAGCGGGAGTAAGACAATCAAGAGCTAAATTGTACCTCTTTCACCGAGATTTCCACGGCCTGAAGCAGAGAGGCCCGGGTCTCTTCAGACTCCATCAGAGCTTGGAGACGACGATCGACACCATACGTCCGCCCAAATATCCGCAGTCAAGGCTCACTGCAGAGGACTGACGACACAGCTGGTTTGGTAGTATGTTTTCGCTGCTCAGCACACTTTCATTCTGTCAACGAAACGACGGATGTGGGCATCGTCGTTCGAAATGGTCGTATCTCTCTTGCTGTTCCTCCTAACACGATCGTCGTTCGAGGAGCCCAGAGCAGACATCAGCTGGTTGGTGATGGTGGCCGGCCGCCCGCCCCACATTCCGTCAAGAGATGGTGTCTAGGATTCCTTAAAGCTCGGAGCTATTCCTCGGACACGTACGGATGATTGGAGACATTCTGGACTCCTTCAGGTTTCTCTTGCGATTTACGCAGATATTGGAGCCGATTCAGGATCGAACGGCCGATGCTGTGAGATGAGTTGGAGACGTATCTGGATGGAATCCTGAGTCGTCTGAGTCCTGGCGACTCCTGACATTATGAATGACGGACGATGTCAGAAGTCGGGACCGGCGCCCGTTCTCCAGAATACTACAGTGGAGAGCTCCTCATAATCTCGAAAAACTGATTGGAGACATTCTGGACTCCTTCAGGTTTCTCTTTCGAATTGGTCAGACGTCATACGGAATTGCTATTATTCCGAATCCTCTGGACCGAATAGATAATTTAGAATCTTTCGGAGCAATTATAAAGTTTCGAATCTCTCGGAGTTATAACTTCAGATCTTCTGGAGCGACGTTCTCGAATATTTTGGAGCGATAATTTCGAATTCTATTCGACTTTGTAAGAGCCGAAATGGATCGAATCAGTTTGAAATCGGTCCTAGCGAAAATGCGAATCACTCGAGAGAAAATATTCCGCCCTGACCGCTTGGGAGTTTCGGAGCGATTTATTTGTATCATCCTACGGAAACGTCGAGAGAGCTTATGAGCGGATCTTCATGCCATCAAGCCCGGGACGATCTGCTGCACGATCTTCTGGAAAATCTCTGTCGTTTCATCCTCTCCTGATCGCTCAAGAGCTTTACCGTCGTCGCAAGCTTGTGCCAATTTCAGGTTTATGGGGAGCGAGCCTGCAAGAGAGTCGGATTTAGACGTCATGCTTTTTTTTCTCAAGCGAAGGAATACTCTGCTCTCCCAGCCGGCTGGTAATGAACTTGATATCACTCTCATTTCGAGATTCCCGGCTTTCGAGATGAGGCTGCGGGGCCTCCTCGAATGCCCAGATCCCGAAGATCATCGACAAATCCGATACTATAGGCTGTGGAAAGTCTCGATAAGTAATCACCGAGAAGTGGAATGTTGCAATGTCTAGCCAGCTGCTCTCCTCCGCCTCCACAGAAAGGATAGCTTTCAACATTACAGCACGGACACTTGAAGACGGACATGTTTTCGACTAGTCCCAGCACTTGCACACCCGCCAATTTGCAGAAGGCGACCTGTCGCTGTACGTCCATCAGCGAGACATTCTGTGGTGTCGAGACTAGAACAGTCCTGAAATGGAATGGATTCTTGAGAATCCTCCCTCGCCTGGAGAATCGGTCAAGCAGCTCGAATAATGCGTGGTTCGAGATCAGGAAGGCGGGAATTTCCCATGCATGACGTCGAGCGAAGATCGCGGAATACGGATCGAGGGGAGGAGCACCGATTCCCGAATATAGGTATTGTACTCACGCTGTCTTGCAAGCCTTTCGCTTCAGGCACTCCACGATAGCCATGTGCTCGTCAGAGGTTCCGGGAGGGGTATCGACGACCAAATAATCAAGCTGGCCCCATGCGACGTCGTTGACGAACTGTGAGATCATCGCTGCGAAGTAATATCTGGGTTAGGAACGCAGAAACTGACGGACTTCAAAATTGCGAAGATTCTCCCCCGAGTTCATCGACCTGATGATCTACCTTCATCGACGGGTAGTTTACGATGGAAAGCAACGAACCTTGCTTCTTCGGTCCTCGCCACACAACCGCGCTATCCTCATTGCCGAGAAGGAATCCAATTGACATGACCTTCAAGCCGTCGACTTCGCACGGCAGCCATGCATCGCTTCCTGCGGCTTGTGTTATCCTCATGCCATTGATTCCGAGGATTTTCGGGATACTCGGACCGCATAGATCGATATCGAGCAATCCCACCCGATGACCAGCAGAGACCAGGTTCCTGGCGAGCTGAACACTGACTGTGCTCTTGCCAACTCCTCCTTTGCCAGACATCACCAAGAGCACGGACTTCACCGAAGAGGTTCCCTGTTGTCGATCTGTAATTCATACGGGGCTAGGGATGTCAAGACAGTCGAGGCAGAATGATCAAATCATCAGAATCATTCTATGAAGTTCGAATTCTATCCATGGTTTAAAGAAAATTATTCTGTCGGATCTAAGCGGCCATCATGGTGGCGACGGACCCCGGTATAGTTCCGGGAATTCTCCGTCGAAGAAAAAAGAAAGCGGAGCCTTCTTCTGAATCAGCTTCATTTATTGACTTTACGCAAGTCCTTTTAATGATCATCTCATAGGAGAAAGTCCCTGGGTAGGCGTCGTGTTCCGCGCCCGTTTCGTTACTGTAGTCAGACACTCCGTTCCATGAACACTGCTCTCGAAAGACGGCTTGAATAAATAACGGACAGTAGGAAAGATCTGAGGAAACATTTGTAAAATCATTCATCAGCTTCGGAGACCAGCTCAGTGAGCTGCCGCTTGGTCTACGTCTTGGACTAGAGCCAAATACTCCGGACGGAGGATGTCGGACTCCGGGGGAGCCTCGACCACACAGTTAACGACAGCGGCCGGGAACAGCTTGAGGTCTTCGAGCGTCCGCTCGTGGGCTGTCAGAGCTTCTGCACCGCTTTTCAGTACCGGGTTCGAGCAAGAATCGAGTAGACAGTCTTTGAGGAATTCGTAGACGTTGGCTAATTTCTCCGCGACTTCGAAGGTCCCCTGCAGCATGAGGCCATTCGGTAGGCGTATCCTGATGAGAGTATACTTGTAGCTTCGCTGCTCCTGTTTCGAGTCACGTTCCCTCATGGCCTTAGTTCTCAGCTGAGTCATCAGGTCGACTTCTCTGGCTCGATCCGCCTGCGCCTTGGCGAGTATATCCGCTGTGACATTGGCGAACTCGTCCGGCACGCTCACGCGTGCCGCGGACTGTGAGGGCAGAAGTACCTTGGGGTTACGATCCAAAACGATCTCGAGTGGTTCAGCGGTACTGAGTGCGTCCTTCAGAGCTGGCAGCATGTCGAGGTCGGCTTCTTCGCTCAGACACAAATGAGCTTCTCCGTCATCCAGAGTCTTCTCGGCGAACCCAGCTGCCTCGAGGAACTCGACGGCACCGATGACGGGCTTCACCTTTTCTTGGAAAACCTTGTTGGATAGTTTTATTTTCCGGTATTTTTCCTCGCCCGGATGGTCCAAGATATTCGTGAGATACCTGCTCAGGATATCGATGCATGACTTGATGGCTGCTTCGTTTTTGTTGCATGTCACGATCATCAAAGCCGCTGACAAACCCCTTTCCTCTTCCAGCTGCTCGAACAAAAATTTCTTCAGCTCCTCGTCCAACTCCTTCCGAGGCAGGGCCTGCGGCCCGAGCATTGGACATCGGAACAGGAGTTCCTTAACTCCCAGCTGTGCCGGTTTTTCCACAGTCTTCGACGCGGATTTCTCAGTTTCCGTTTTGTTGATCGCCGCCTGCCTCTCCAACTCTAATTCTTTCTTCGCTTGCGCTCGAATCGCAGAAAGTGAGAAGTCCACGCCTTTCATCCCCTCGAGCCGGGCGAGAGCCGCGGCTCCAGCTCTCGCGGCTTGCTCTGACGGCTGCGACCGGTGGGTCGGGCCGACCTGTGGATGACTCGAAGAACTTGACGGACTTGTTGACGAGCTTGAATTTTCTTCGGCAAGCGAATGACCGGGACCAGCTCTTTTGAATTGTTTGTTGAGCTTTTTCTTCGCGAAGAACTGTTTTATCTTATCCGCCATCCTTCGCAGACAGTTCGGCACCGTTGCGGTCACAAAGGTTGCTCGCTCGGGGAGGTTCTCTCACGGGATTCCGAGAGTTCGAGCTTGCCGCACTCGTCACGCACAATAACAAATAGCGGCCGCCATTTTGACAAGTTTGTGCCATGCGCTCCCATATGACAGTTCATTTTATTTTTGTATTCTTTGCCACGGAACCCATCGACGTTCAAGCAGAGCAAGCAGCTCCGGATGGAATCCGATTCCTTTTATCAGAACTAGTACTTTACCTCCGTCCATTGCCGTAGTCGAGTCAAGAGCGATGGAAAAGCGCGATAGAACGACCTGCGGATACGATCGCCGCTCCGCACAGAAGCTTCACTCGCTCAGAATCAGTTCGTCCACCGTAGAAGAGAGACTCCAAAACGGAGGCGAAGAAATATCCCGTCCTCCTCCGAAATGGGAATTTCCTATGCCGGAAGAGGGTGTGAAGTTTCGGACTTCTGATTGATCATTTCGAGTCTGCTCCACCAGCGTCGAGAAGGTCCCCTGGGAGAACATCTGCCTAATCATACTCATTCAGAATGAGCCGTGCTGGCTCATCGCGGTCGTCTCGACGAGACTCATGGCTCAGAATTGCCCTGGAAACTGAAATCTCCAGAACCGCGCGCCTCCGGGGCTGGGTCAACGACAGTCCGACTCCGGAATGCGCTGGCAGCCTCTGCATTGTTATGATGATCGATTTCGCACCAGCGGGGCCTAATGCGATTTCGGAACCGACTTGAAGAGATCGATTGTATTGCGCGGTGTTCCACTCACTCCAGCCGGAAAATCGCGGAAGATAGTCCGGCACGAATCGCCTGATCGCCTCTTCCTGGGTCTGGATTCTGTATGATAGCGGTCTCTCTTCTTTAGCCCCAACGGGAAAGGCAGGCCTCCTCTGCGCCCCTTGTGAGCAGGCCCGTATCGACTCAGGTCGGTAGAGGAGTGCAGCTCCGCGCTTAGCAAGTCATCTCCGAACGGGATGCACGAACTATTTATAATTATCACTCTTATCATCGATCACAGCTGGAAATTCGTTGATTTTTTTCCGAGTGTGAAAAGACTTGGTTTCGGACGGGGTTTGCAAATGGCGATGCGCTTCCATCCCAAAAACGTAGCTGACGAAGGTCGAGCCAATTGCCCTGATGGTACAACTAATCCGAAGAAGGATCAAAAACGTCGGAGGAATCTCTGCCGCAAAATCGTACAGACGAGCAAGGTAGTCCCAATGTTGTCATAGCAAATTGGCCCTCCTGTTTGTTACTTCAGTATTCATAACTGCGCGGGATATCGTCCAGTGGTTGCGTCTCAGGTGAGCCGCGACTTGGGGCCTGATATCCACCGAATCTTCGTTGAGCCCGTCGTCATCCACGATCGAGTGTCCCCACATCGCATTCGTCCCGCTTGAGGTCTGGCCGGGGTAGACAGAAGAGAGAAGAACTGCATTACGAGGCGTAGAAAGACGAGGAATATGAGCTCTTGTATCGTATTGTGCCTACACGATACCTCGTGAGCTCATACTCAATGATTGAATCATTGTTCCGAACCCCTTATCCCGATCCTTTGCGAACATTCTCTGGTCAGTACACTGTCATTCTGAAGAAAAGACATCGGAGGAAACGATAACCCGTGGATGCGATTCCTCGGGAGTTGAGTCATTGTCGTGGCAATCCATATTCCACCTGTTCACGGACAGACAAGGCACCGCTGCAAATACTTTTGCGCCGAACCTGCGACGAGGTCGAAGCTAAGTAATGATCGAGTCGGTGCCACGTCAGACTTTTGTGCGGGAATCTGATCAGCCTGTCGGAGGAGGCGTGATTCGGTTTGCTGTAGTCAGTATTCATATGCGTTTTGCCTATTATCGCTTCAGAGATATGTCAGATCCATCTCGAGGATATATCTCAATATAAATATATATCGAGACGCGTCCGCTCATGAACGCTCTATCTTCAGCCAGTGCGCTGACTAGTGCGCTTGTAATCTATTCTTGAGGCGGCATGTATCATTCAAGAGGGCCTCGAAAATCTCAACTCGAACGGCCGAAGTCGAAGATCAATCTTCCCGTACAGCCCGTGTCGAGCAGAAACTCGAATCGTAAGAACCCGCCTGGCTGGCAGAGGGACACTAGGGACTCGTAGGATGAAGGATATCCATATTGTGTTCAAGGAATATACATTCGCCGACGGCTCCAAATCACTCGAAGGATTATTTTCATGGTACGAGTTTGAGAAGTGGTCCAATCCATCCTGCTCGGTGCTTTCTCGATACAATCGCTCTCTGGCTCCGTGAAAACGCAGGTTTCCCTTCTCAAGTGAAAAGTCGTGGCAGAACACTGAGTACGGCAAGAATTCGCGCGACAGTATCAGGCCAGCATTCTGGAATTCCATCCCGGAGATCATGTCCGTTGGATACTCGGGAACTGAGGGTTGCGGAAATGAATATCAGAAGTGCCTTGCTTAGATGATGTTGCTGTTTCCGGGGGCGAATCCCAGGGATTACGAAGTCACCTCACGAATCCCCCTGGTTCTTCGACAAAAAGTTTCATTCGGATCTCGGATCGCCATGTTACCGGAATCGCTCCCGGAGAGAGCTCTCCCCCTACGGGGGAAACGTATTCCATAAGAACAAGACTGATTCTCTCGCGCAATCAAACGCTTTTCTCGTGTCCAGCGAAGCATCGGCCCTCGGTTGCGGGCGGGTCGGGAGGTTCAAGTGGCATGGAGAGTTTCCTCACCGATTCCGTGTGTGCACCTCTGTCACGTCTGAGTGAGGACGTGTACCTCGACCGGTGTCCGCGGTACGCGTCATACAATTCAAGCGCAGCATTTGAAGGAGCTTGTGGTCAGGACCGTCAAGAATCCACGTGCTTCGCTCGGCTCCGTGGGGATTTCATTGGATTGGACCATCTTAGGAATATGTTTCTTGCCCGGCTCAGTTGACTCGAAGAGAGTTGCGTGATCTCGGAGCCCGAACGTAAGCGTGATTTTCGGTCATTTCAATTAAGGCTCAGCTGTCAGCCCGGGAATCTTCCCTCGCTTAGGCCTAATGATGCTCATGACGCGAGCTTATTCCCCTTCGGCGATCTCGGAACCACGCCATAATCTTTGGAAATTCTTTCTGCATGGAGAAGAGATCTCAACGAGGATGGTAAACCGAGAAGATCCGCCAACGGTACACAGTCGTCTAATGAAATACAAGGTCGTCATCTGTCAAGAAGATCTGGCCGAACTCGAGATGGTCGAATCGGCAGACGAAGGCTATTCTGAGGGAGAGTTCGAGCGATTGGATAACAGCGCTTACCAACCGGCCAGATACCTACAGAACCCACAGAAAACGCTGGAAGACTTGACCAACGTAGCAGTTCTTTCGAAGTTGCCTGAAGTACCGTACCCATATGAATTTTTCGCGACCGACATTTTGCGTGAATGCGAGATAATGAGTGCTGTCGTGAAGCTCAGCAAATTGCCGAGTGAGTTGAACGCACTGTCTTCCGACGTCGAATCGCTCCAATAACGAGAGGAAAGATCGCCAGTCGAGTTCGTCGAGCCTTTCTATGATTGATTTCTGTCGCTCGCTCATTTGCACATAATTTCTTCATCGAGGAATGAAGCTCAGGATTTCCTCCTCCGGTCCCTCTATGGTCCGCAATCCTGAACCGCTTCCGCCCGAATCCCTGAAGGTTTGACCTCAGGCAGATTCGCGCTGAACTCGTTCCGCTATCAACTGACAAAGCAATATTTGCAATTCCTCAGACGTGCTGTTCATATACGAGCTGAGTGGGACATGTCAATCGCGGCTGAATCGTTTCATGAAGCGCAGCTACCCCGACGTTGCCGTTAGACTCATCGTGGCACCTCCTCCGGATCGCTACCGAGACGACTCGACGGAAATGATATTGCGAATTTTCGCGAGACACGATCGCAACAAAATGTCATATGAGGTTAGTCGAGGACGCTCCCGCTCGCGGCAAGCATTGACTCCCGACATCGCAGGGATCTTTTCCCTCCAAGTCCTCGTATGTCGGTTCCGCTGATGATGTCTCATTTGTGCAGGAACTCTTTGAAGAAGCTCTGTCCAGCCACCTACTGCTCACGAAGGACTTCCCGTTCGACACCGAAAGGCTGAACGAGATCAACCGCGATGGCTTCCACGGACTTCGCTCGACATTCACTTTGCGAAGGCGGAATCTGAATGAACATCACAGAATGCTTTGTATAAGTGTACGCCAGCTGGCGCCGCTCGTTCACCGTATGATCCAGACGGAACAGAGACATCTCGATCAGGCTTTCCTTGAATCCTTGGAAGAGGAAATCCGTAATAGTGCTTACGATGTCGCCGAGCTCCCCCACGTTGCTTTCGCAGTAGATGGCGAGGCTTTGAAGAAGCCCCTGGAGCATCTCGTGACCTGTGTACCAGGAGTCGAGGTTCGTGAACTCCCGAGACACCCATGTATCACCGCAGCGTAATGGGGGCGGTTTCGCAGCAAGTCCTGCGAAAAAAAGTTGATATATTGTTCCTCTGAAATCTTCTGCATTCCTTGAACGCAGGTGGTCTGGACAAACGACAAGAAAATTATCCGCAAGCTGGAGCTACCCGAGCGACATGCAGATTTGGCCCCGCGAGGTCTCGCGTCGGCGGCAGCCACGCAGGATCCCCCAGGGCGCCAGGAGCAGGATATTGTCAAGAGTCTCTCGGACATCTTGAAGGTAAGACCCACACCATGAATGATGCTTTGAAACAGTTCCGACCTCCCATCTGGAACTTCAGGCCTTTCGAATCGTTGTCTTCTGTCTTTCCATCTCGGAGGCTTAGTATGGAGGCGGCGAGAGGTTCACAGATACCTTAAAACGCGATTTCTGATTTCCAGAGACCGAATAATCTATACATGTCGCTCGGAGAACTAGAGGGCCAGCTTGGTCAAGTGGCCACCAGACTCGGACATGGTTTACGGCAGTTCATCACCGAACGGCCGAAACATTTCCAGGTGGGGAGGGGCTTCCCTTCAGGAAGCGAGAAAATCGAAGCCTCGGAGAATCGATATCCATTTTCTCCCAAAACTCTGGCCTGATACTCCGTCTAGACGTAATTCGTTCATATTTCAGATTCTTGGTGAAGGAGATTTCGAGGTGGTGACGCTCAGCCACCGTGCGCAAATTAAACGCGTTTGCAATGATTTGCAAAAAGTTCTCAGACCGATGAAGCCGAAATGTATCTCTAGCGCCCAGATCGCTACCGCGTTCGCGCAGCACTGGAGGACTACGAACGACGCAGAATGGCAGAATCGGAGATTCAACGTAGAGGATTTCGGGGTCTGCTTCCTGGACGATCTTCTACTGACGATTCCACAGCACTGGGGAGTGAATTGCAGCGAGTACGTTTCCACCGAAGGACAAGTGATTCAGCGAAAGTACGGAACAGGCGAGGAGGACGTACCAGATTTCGTTCCTCAAAGCGGTCGGAAAATAATCAACGCTTGGATTCCAAAACACGTACAAACCGAAGAACAGAAGAAGAATCTCGCTCTCCTCAAACAGCAGGTGAGAGCTCCTTGCGAACCTATTCGGCCATTGTAGCATGACGCACGAATGCCTTCCCTCACGTTCGGCAGCCCTCGGTCCTAGTCCCCTCGAACACGCTCTTCTTGCAGATTCTGAACATCTTCCGTGGCGATCCGAGCGCTGACGTCCTGATAAATCATCTGAGAGCCGAGCCGAGGCTTCACGGTCCAGAAAACGGCAACAGACTTCTCAGACTCGCCGGTCTCCGGGCCAATCGACCCACTCCTGGCGGCATTCACCATCGAGCTGAGCAGAGGAGCGAACAGCTAGCGCTCCCGTGTAATCTCTTGCTGGAAGAGAAGGCTTTCGTTCCGCTCTATCATCGATTCTGTGGGGAACAAGTGACCTTGGCGAACTTTGGTGTGAGGGACCTCTTCGAGCTATTCGATAGCATGTTGGACACGTTCATCATCAAGGGCGTTGCCCCGAATCGCACGATAACTCTGACACAGGATGCCAAACTCGAGATACTGGAGCGAAGAGTAATCGACGTCCTCCGCAAGTCTGGTCATCCGTTGACGGAGAGCGATCTTTTCCGGCTCTACGTGAGCGAACCGACAATGGTTCCGTATCATAACGCGAAGGAGATCAGGGAAGCCGTCGACAAGAGTGCCTTCATACGAGAGATTCTCGTAGGGCAGAGACTTATGTACCAGGTGCCGCATTTCTTCAGCTACTCGAGAGCTGTGGCCGGGCGACCCGACATCGAACACGTTCTGATGAAATTCATGCAGAGTTACGCGCCACTGGAGATCGTCACCATCGAAAGGGAGTTCACCGCCAGAACCGGTCGACCTCTCAAGAGGGTTGTCATCGAAGATCTGAAGAGCACGGGCGCTATTCGTCAGGTTACCGGATCCGAGGAACTATATGACCTACATGACATTTGCCGGGTGGTTCGGAACCTCGTGTTCAAGATGAACGAAAACCCAACTTATATTTACACCGTGAGTCTGGCGCTCGTATTCGATGTTCATACGGCCTTCGACCGAATCCCGGCGTCCCCTCATCTGGACGAAATTCGCTCTTTCAGGTGGAGTCGCAACCCTACCTTAATGCGAACCTGACCCCTACTTCCGTGGCTACACTCTTGGCTTTCTCCGGGGACTACACGTTCATCCCGCCGAGGGTTCTGTTGGAAATCATGAGCGACTTCACGCTCAGCTTCCAACAGGTCGGCGAAGTTCAGTTCAAGCTTCAGCCTGCTCTGCAGATCTGGACTCCGCCGGTGGAGGTCGTGGAAAGCGCCCAACCGCGTCGCGGGAATAGAGGAGCTCAGATAGCGCCTCGGGGCCGTCAGAATTATCGATTCTCCCGGAATCCGAGGAATAATAATGACAGGCATCACCAGAGACGGCATCACTAGGGCTTAAATGACGCACACTGAATCTCAGGCGCACAAGCATCCACCGGAAAGCTTGAGGTCGGGGAATCTTAAACCTGTGGTAATGGTGACAAAAAGATCACTTCATTACCGCAAAATCTGGTGAATTTACAAGTCATCGTTTTCTTTCTGGTAAGAGAACCAAGCGAAGCCACGTGTTTCGGGAGAGCAATCAAAAAAAATGACTGGATAGGCTTTGGCTTAAAGCACCAGAGGGATCTTGGGTCGACATTTGTACCGACCCACCTCTTCGCCGGCCGGCCAACCATCCATCTATCTATCTAACCGGCCTCGTCAGATCTAGGCTGATCACCCTGTAGTAGGAAAATCGGCGAGGGAAAGATTCCCATCGAGGAGCTACTGTGCTCCATAAGCAATTCCGAGACTCCTACTGCAGCTGACGAGGCTATCGTCCCTCAGATCGTAATTTATTTGAACACCGAATTTTCATTCAGAACTCACGAGGATTTTCGGATCTCTGCAGCCCGGAACCTGCCGTTCCGAAATGCAGAATCCGTACCCTAATCAGCTCAGCGCTGGTTACGTTCTCTCGATACATTAGATTTATGGTCTACGGGGGACCGGTGAGTTCAGTTCAGTTCAACTTAAGTACTGATTCGATGAAATAGGATTGAAATTCCAATGGTGAATAGAAATGGAACAAATCATCCGGTGACGAAACTTCTTACCAAATAGGATGGAAAATCTTTCATGACGTTGGTTAATAGGAGTGGAAGTGAGCGAATCGATCCTTGCGGGTCCTTGCCTCCGTCTAGTCTTCCCTAACGGGTTTCTCCACGGAGGGGCGCTTGAAATCTTTTTACTATTGAAAATATTGGTGTATCTACTTTAAGGAATTTCACAATGATATATATATATACATTTATCGTTTGAACTAGAGGAATACACCCAATCGAAATGAGGATGATCACCGGCCTTTCGGAATTTAGTACTGAGAATTATAGATTTGGACATGTCGAGAACCCGCGTGGTGGGTCGCGTCAAGTGATTCCTTGGAGCGATTGTCCTATACAACGCTAGTCTCGAAGCAAGGATTATCTTAAACTAGCTAACGTGTTAAATAGTCTCATTATGATATCTGTCAGCGTTTTGCGTCAAGCAAATGCTCAAATGTCAGATATCTTCATTCGTGGTGGGCGATTGAACTGCCTGAATCAAAAAAATTTGTGCTTTGAATGAAGTGCTTTTTCAAAGAAATCTCGACTCTTTTATTCCATGTTCTGAGGCTTCGAGTCTTCATTGGTTGGGGGGAGGGATCCAACCTGCTCTCAGTTTGTTCATGTGTGCGTCCGTGCGTACCCTCCCGAGCGAGCTCGGGATTCTTTTCGAACGATCGCTCTGTGAAATGTCTGCTCCTAAGGCGATCCACGAGCAACAGGGGGATTTCCACCCGATGCTCCCTTCCTGACGTATCTGATTCTCTATTTCGACGCCCGGGATTGCAGTCTTCATATTTAGTGGCGCGACGGGATCTCGAGAAACATCGGAGCGACCTCGGAGGATTGATGTTGAGAGGTTGCGAGATGATGCGAATCGTATCTCCGTTAAGACCACTCCATGACCCCTCAGGAGTTGATAGCCATTACGATTGTTCCCAACCACAAACTGCTGGTTCCGCCAGGCTCCCTGAGTCGGTGCTCACTTCGGGAAAAAGTTTCATAGCTCGTCGCGAAGTATTGGATGTTCCAGGCCCAGCCTCCGAGCGTCGGCATCCCTCCGGGGTGCCGGGGTCGATGGATGGACATCCCTCGATGTCTCGTCGACATCGAGCGCGTGCGCTGCGGCGCCTTTCCGGATATTCATGCGAAGAGCCTCGAGGGGTGGAAACGTCCACCCTTTTCCTCCGCGTCTGTTATGATGGGCTTCCTTGAGGAAGTCACGTCGACAGACCAAGGATCATTATCCGCCGCTCGCGAAAACTCTCTCCGCACCAATTATTCACGATAACCATTTTACAAGCACATGTACTGCGAGACATCCTCGACCTTGATATGCTTCCATCACTTCCTTTGACATTCGTTCTACGAGATATTCTGGAACGCTTGTTGATGGTGCCGTTCACAGCAATTTGTAGCTCCTGACCGCCGCCATAGGGTGGGTCTGACAACTTCACTTCTTGTTGAAGTCGTCGTCAACAACGTGCTGACGCTCTCCTTGTTTCTGCCGTCGTCGCGCTCATAACCGCCAGCATGTCGGATGACCGAGTCGTCAACTTACTCTTGGCTACCAGACGGTCGTGGTCGCATTGTTTCGGTCGGACGTCCTATCTCAAGGTTGTGGGGCCGACGGGTTGGGTTCACCAAAGATCAGGGCGCGCCCGCCTCGTCGTCGTCGTCGATGTTAACTTTCACTTCGCAGTCGTTGACGTCCATCCGTCCGTCTATCCGTCGTCGTCGGCGTCAGCCGTTCGCACTGTACTCCCGGACAACAACGCTCCGGGAGATGATTCGAAGAAGGAAGGAAAACTCGGCAGGACCGGCATTGTGAAAGATGTCGACGTATTTCTGGGCAAAGCCCGTCCATATGAATTGTTAACAGAATGGCGGTCACAATAGCGGTGGACTTCTGACTTACGCCAAAATGATCGTTGACGGGTATTCCACGGGAGGGAAGGCCGAAGTCTCATTCGGAAGCCTTTTTACGGTTGTTAGTGGATGCTCTGCTTTCCGCTGCCCCTTCCCTTGTCGTGTTCGACGTTTGACAAATTATCATACCGACTCTCCAGACGAACCTTGTCATCGTACAGAAAATACTTCGGGCAGGAAAGAAACGCGTGATCCCAGACTGGGAGGATCATTGTGAGCCCCGGGAAGCATGGAAACAAAAGACCGACCAGAATTGTCTTGGTGAGGAAACTTCGGAACGGACCGATGCTCTTCTCAGGCTCACGGGCTCTCTGCGCTCCGGACCCTCCTGGTCCTCGCTCACTTGTTGTTATTCAACTTGTTCAGATCGGGATCTCTCCCGGATTGGCGATATTACGCTCAGATTAAGCGCGATTGGCTCAGACGAATTGGCCGAGTTGGGCCGGGACCGTCGATTCGCACACCGCCTCCGATTTGCAAAGTTTCAATCTTCTTACTGTCCCTTGGATTTGCACAACCCACCGTGCGGTATGAGAATTTGATTACAATCGCTCTGAGGAGTGCATTGTTGTCCCAATGAGTTGGCGAGAAATTCCGCTCAAAACGAAGAAGCGGTTCACTGAGAAGATGGAAAAGCTTTCTCTGAAAGCGAATGTGAACGTGGAATTTAATTGAAGTATTCTCCGGAGGCAGCGGCTCGGGTCTTTTCCCAACGATGAATTGGAGAAAACAGGCGACGGAAAGAAAACACGGGACGGAACTCTTGACACCCTTCACACAAACATGAGACGTACTCACTCTCAGGCAATTTGGAAGACTTGTTCACGGAAGTCTCGAATATCTGCGGCCGGCGCCCCCCGAATACGGCCGACGAGGGGCTTCGAATGGAATAGGTTCTGGTTGTCCCCATTGGAATGATCGAGAAATTCCGGAATCAAAGCCCGGCAAGTGGCCGCTTCCATACCGGGTCGGAATAATGAACTTCACCGACCGCTTCCTCGCAATGATGCTGCAAGGTGTGATTCTACCAAACTTTGATCCAATAAACCGTAAAATAGTTTTGAAGTTCGCTCGGCTTAGAAAACTCACGCCCGATAACGGTTCCTTTGTCGATAAGTCAATCACGACTCGCTTTCGAATCGTTATATCTTTAAGTCTATGGTATTTTCCATTTTTTTTCGCTCCAAGGCGAATCGAGTTCTTTTTCAGCCGACATCGTTTGTATGTCTGAATGAACTGTTTTGAGCGACTCCGCTACCGCAAAAAAGCTAGTTCGTCTTGAAAATCCGTCCAGGGAAAAGTGCGATAATCGGTTCGGGGCTCTTTCTTCTTCCTTCGGTTTCTTCCCACCGGAAAAAATAACTCAATCAAACGCGTGACTCCGGTCACACAGCTTCAACTCATTGATTCGGCGAGCGCTTTCTTGTGGTGTTCAGTAGATCTCATGATGAAGGACATCCTTTCAAACTTCAAAGTAAAGGAATTTTCACACGCACTCTTCTCCGCCGCCTGTCGGGGAGCAGCTTCTTCGCTCTGATGTAATCAATTCTCCGCGAGGAACGGATCAATTCACCTGAGATTGGATTCTCGCGACAGGCTATGAGTGCGGTGAAGCTTTTCGCGAATCGATAGATTCGGGATATTATTGACGTAGATACAGCCGGCCGCGAGCAGAAATTCGGGGAACATTTTCGACAATGAAATTCTCGAGATATTCTGCGTAGACGGGATTCTCGGATCCGAGATCCCGAATCACGAATCGGCGCGGCGCTTCCGTTTCAGTCAATTCTAGATAGGCCGAGGGGAGACAGGGCGACAATCGGAAGGGGGCTGGGGGAACGGATTCAGCAGAGCCCCCATGTGTCAGCGATGCCTCCGCGGTGCACTTCTTCGCTTTAGTAGGGGCGCGAAGACTACAGGGAAGTGCGCTTCGAAAGATCAAAGCGCAGTAGAAATAGAAAACCTATGTGTAAATCGTGTTCGTTCCTTGGATCAATATCAGGACCTGATCATAGGTGGCCTGAATGATACGGAGCCGCATCCCAAAGTATACGGCTCCCAAGTTCCGGAAGAGATGAACACGCAGCAAAAAATTTCAGAATTCAGAGTGGGAATCCCTCTGCTCGTTGTATCATTGTACATATTCAACTTGACCACGCACTGGAGGAGGAGATGCGCTATCCGTCGCCACTGGTGTCTGGGGGAGGGCGAAGACCGCGCGCGGCTCTCACTGACGAGCGGATGAGCTAAGTTACCAAGCCAGCTCCACGAAAGGACTTCGTTCCGTTAGTCAGACGTGATCATTATTTAGCTTAGGAAGCTTGTACAGTTGAAGAGAAAGTCAAGCGCGCCCCGTGCGCGACAGCGGATTCAGAGCTGTGGTGTCGACGGTGTACCTGAGGAAAATTCAAGCCGTGGGAACTTCCTCGGATATCGAACTCTCTACCGGTACGTATCCCTATTCGGCAAAAAGATATACCGGCCGAGTGCTCAGTGCCGAGATCCGGAAAATTGCGCTGCGGCTCCGGGCGCGCTCGAGCACGCTCCGCTAGATCCTCATCCCTACATTGGGACGACAGAATCGAAGCTGATGAAGAGGCACCGTTTACGCGCTCGAATAGGTAGGCCATCTCCGTGCCCCATCCGCCCCATTGAATACGAACGGGTTCGGGACTCCCCAATTGAGAGGCCTCAACCGCCAGTTCCCCTCCTGTTGATACAGGACTCAGATATCGATTCGCCCCCGCCCCCCTCGAAAACCTCCTGGATCCTGCTCCATCACAATCTACCAATGAACCATAGTCCCGTATGAGCAGACTCATCGTCCATCCAAGCAGAACCGATTCTTCGGCTTAAGAAGGCCAATATCGCGGACTGAAACGCTCCGCGAGCCACCTGAGCTCCCCGAGCGGCGCCCTTGAGGGGCGAGTTTGGCGCACAGAGGAAACGGCAGATTTTCCGGGAAATCCCACAATTCCAGTCGAGAATCCCCGAAACAACGGGGTTCCTCTGTGGGAAGGGACCGCGCTCCGGGCTATCGCTTCGAAGGGGCAGAAATCCTATCTAATCGCTGCGTTTGGAGGGGATTCGAGAGGCTCCTCACCAGGGGACCTACGGTTCCATTGTCGGGGGCAGCTCTCGCTGAGCGATTTGCTGACGGAAGCTGATCATTGGCTAAAGCTTCAAACTTGTTGCCGAGATCACTTGAGCTTGACAGTTCAAACGCAATTGGCTCGAATTCCATGGTGTCATACGGGGAGCCATGGAATCAATGAGACCATTCCGATTCAAGTTTTCAAACTTCTTGCTCCCGAGTTTGGATCGGCTGGGAGCAGTCGGAGCATCGCAAGCGACATTTCTCCTTCATCTGGGGGAGAGATTCCGACTTCATATGGTGACTTCAGCTTCTCAGCTAGTCAGTATCAACGTGGATTTTCTGCTTGAGGGAAACACGAATCCGGACGAAATCCGACTTTCGCCAGAATCGATTCAAACTCTGGAACAGGAGCATCCTCGCCGCAATCCGTCGGAGAATTCTCAAACATTCCACCGATGATCTGAGAAGCAGCGGGAATATGACTTCGAAGAAAGAGGTGTTCCCGTTCGGAAGAGCATTCCCCGTAGAATTTTCGGTCTTTCCTTGTCAGCAGCCCATGACTTCCAGCTGCTTAGAGAAGATTGACTGGCTTTTGTCCGAGTTGTCGGTGCGGCGTTTAACCTTCTCGACTTTGAGCGTCAATTTCTAGCGTTACGTGAACGACACTTCCGATCTGTTTCGAACGAGCCAAGTACCGACCGCTAGCGAGAGCCAAACGAACTTCTAATCATTGTCTAGTTGAATTTTCGGAGTGAACGATACCCCTTTTCCTGGAACCGAGCGAAAAACGCTCTTGCTCATCAGTCATATGCAAATCAGCGCTTCTCTAGCCTTGGGTTTTTATCTAGATTCTCGCGGCGATCGCGCGGGCAAGACTCCGGACCTGTCACCGATCAGTTCAGTGTGACTCTTTCAGCTGGAGAATCCAAACAAGGCTTGGGTTTTTTCTTCGTTCAGAGAGAAAACTAAACGTTCTCCTCGAGAAATGCAGAGCGTGTGGCGTCACAATAATCTGAATGGGGTCGCAAATGTTTGGAGAGATAGCGCAACAAAGCGAGCTACGCATTTTCTCGGCATCAGTACCGAAGATTCCCGTATCTCGCCGTCCTACGGGAGGAAGAAGCCGCCGAAAATTTCGGTCGATCGTTTTGATTCGAAATCGTTTCGAACTCGCTCATCGAGAACGAGCTCATTTCAACACTGGGAAATTTCCAGTGTCCCCTTACTCCGAGGGTTCATATGAGACCGCTGTGGATGATCTGTAAGCACGGGCATGACTGGGGTCTGAGGGTCGGTCGTCTACGGAGGAGCGGTGCTCTCGAATCCCGAGGTTCTTTGAGCTGGGTATCGGAGACACCGATTGGCAATTATTATCGATGAAGTATACTTACGCTCATTCTCCCTTGATAATTTCCTGTGGAGCATGACGCTCAACGGAAAAGATTCACTTCCCCGATCAATGCCCAGCGACCCGAGTTCCGCCCGTCGTTTTCACCGTAGAATAAAATTCATTCTCGTCCGATCGTCTGACCCTCCCGATATCTGTTTCCCGCGTCGCGAAAGCTCGGACAGGACCAGATCATCGCCGACTGCTATCCAGCCAGCTCTTGAGCAATGGGGAGCTAGGTAGGCCGGTCAGCGGCTGATTAATAATCAACACGATTGTTGAACGGCTTGTGGAGGCGATGATGACTATTATGAGAATGGTGGGACAGAGGCTTTGCCTTCATTAGACTTACGGAGTCATAGCGGAGCGTTTTGACTCGTTTTAGCCGCAATTCAGTAAGCCTCCACTGGGGCGCTCGGTCGCGTGTAGTCTCGGCTTTGCTCTGAAAATCGTCGGGATGGATGTCCCGCATTGTGCCAAGGTCGTGTCGACAAATTTCTCACGAACTTCATTTCAAAACTCCCCGTCCGCCGCGTATTGTGATTACGGCAGGCCGGGGCGTCCGACTGGAAAAAGGGAACTCCTAAATTAGATAAGTCGAGACGATGTTTTTCTCTTTCATTTCCCTACGCTGACGAGCCGCAAGTATGGGAGAGCACCCCGCAGAGGTTAAAACAATGAGAATTTCCCGGCTTCTTCTTCATACATCGCTGTACCGCTCGACGTATCGGACGTGCTCTTCCGTACGGATCCCTCGGAAGTTGATTCGTGTAATTCCGTTCTAGACGAGTCTTCCTGCGGGCAAGTCATGTTTCGTTGGAAGTTGAACAAGACGAAGCTCAAGAGAGATCCTTGATCTCACTTAAAAACGTCAAACGTTCTTTCGGCGAGTTGTATGAAGTCGCGAGGTCGATTCCCACGTCCTGATTCTTTAGCCCGGCCTCCTCCTCGGAGAACGCCGCCAATTAGTCGCTTCCAATGATTCCGACCTCAAGTGAAGCCGATACTGATAAGCTCTCTTTTCTGACCGCCCGATTTTCTTGTCGAACGAAGGTCAGCTTCGCAAGTCTCGGGAATATTCCGACTGGGATCAAGATCCTGACCAGGGCTATCTTCCCGGAAAATAAGCGAGGGTAGAACAATAATTGACCATATATCATGAAGGGGGGGAGGATAGCGACGCACTTATCGAATTGTGAGAGTCCTACCGAATTTAAATAGAATACAATTATCTAAACGGTGCGAGAACGTCACATCGCCCGCGGATTTTCTTTCCTTCTGACCTCGTTGAGAGCTAATGCGGCGATATGGTGCAGCAGGTGTACTATTAGTGCTGGTCAAGCCGTCGCCTTCGTCAGCGTGACTTTCTAATGCGACATCTTGCTCCAAGGTCTGTTTTGCTGTGAGTACTGCCCAAGTCAGTGACATCTAGATGGTCCCGTAAGCTGATTTTTCTCCTGCTCATCCCTTGCTTTCTTAATTGGGGGCCCTTCGCCGCTGCAACGTCCCAAGACTGCGACCACTTTCTCGGCTCGCTGGGAAAATATCCAATGTTTTTCTCCCGCGTTCGACGGAGTGGTGCCCGATTCACCGATGCAGGAACATCGCTGGAGCCGAATTTTAGAAACTTCTATTTGCCTGGCTGAGCGAGAGGATTGTCCTGATCGATGCTGAGAACGAAGAATCAGTCGCGGAGGTGAAATTATAAAAGTCTCGGGTCTGTGCCCGGTGAGTCAGGTCGATTCATGCTCCCGGACTGAGCTGTTCTCTGTCACTAGACTACTCCCCTCCATCAATTTGTACTCTTCCGAGAGCGCGTGAAACAATTTCATGGAAGCTCCGAGCTATCGAACCTGACTCGCGAAGTGCGCAGTGAGCTTCAAACCACCGATTGTGACATTGGCAGAAGGATTCGATTCCCACGCCATCAGACGAGCCAACTCTTACAAGACCCGTTTCATAAACTGATCGTTTCTCTCAGACAAGATGTTGACTCTCTCGGAGCCTTTGAGTTGCCGAAGGAGGAGGAGGATTTTCTCTGCCGAAGAAGTTCATCAGACGCACCCGATGAGGTGTAAGGAGAACGACTCAGATTCGAACTCGCCGTGTATGGATACTGCGAACGACAAGATCCCTGGAATTCTGACAGGCTCTCCCTAGCCAAGAGATGTCCTTAGATTTAATGTTACTTGTCGCGGAAGCATAATTGCCGACGTCGCGTCGTAACAAAGCGACTCCTTCCTTGACCTTCCGGAGGTTGACGGGGCATCGAGAGCCCTCCTGCGGGGCTCCATAAAACTTTAACGAATGTTCCATGTTAAGTACACAGCGGATCATAGTTGAATTCCCCACTAGGATGATTCTTCAGGCGAAGAGCAGAGCCTCCAGAGATGTTTTCCGGATTCAGATGCGGCAAATAAAATGAGTATGAGCTTCTCCAACGGCTCGTCTCATTGTTGACTTCAAGAAAGAATCACTTCGCTGCTCCGAATGTGATATTCACACGAGCGGACCTCCCAAGGAGCTTGAGTTGAAAAATCTGCTGGGGGGTCGAACGCGCCCCGCGATAAAGAGGCAGCGCGGCGTAGTGATAAACTGAGAGACTTTCCGCGACGGAATTCCACGCGTAAAAGACCGTGTCCGAGGATAAAAAGATAAGGACCTTGCCGCATAGGACGACAATTCCCCGTTTTGGTACCGACACGAAAGAAGCGTCAAAGCGAGGAAAGGCTTGTTGGCTGCCCTGACATGCTTGACACGTTCATTATCGCAAGTTGTCAAGTGCCTCACTGCGAACTATTCCAGAATGAGCACGGTCATATTCCGCGGACGATGACGGAAGCAACGCCCTGGAGTGATCTGACAGAAAGTCGCGTTCAAGAAGTCGGAGCTAACAAAGACTCGACCGAAACGACCGGAAACGTTTACGGTCAGGGACTGGACTCAGATAAGAGATAAGACCTTCGAATTTTTGCAGATTATCAATGAGCCGAAGATAGCGTTCGGCCACCCGGAGATGTTCTGCGTTCCTATAGGCTTCTTTGTAGTGAGCTTGCTGGTGAGTAGTCTCGGAGGTGTCCAGGTGAACAAGGGCCGATTTCCCAAGGGATATTATCGCCAGTTGAGCGCTCCTACACTCACCGAGTCCGAATAATATTTGTCAAATGTGTGCCTTAGGTTGTTCAGGGGAACGCGGCGCCGGAGACGATCATCGGTGAAAATGGCGAAGTCTACGTTGCTCCTCCTCCTCAACTGAGCCGATCACTGCAGAAGAAGTTCCCGGGTTCTCGGAAACTCCATCCCGCTCTCCTACCGCGGAAACATCAGGGTAGGCTGTCGCGTACCGCGAACGACATGTCCCATGATTCTCGTGGGTCTGCTCCTTTCGGAAGTATTCTGCCGCCGAGGTGAATGATCCACGGAGCTCTTCAGGAGCTGCCAAACTCTTCCACAGCGGAGCGAATTAGTGGGCTCGTTTGTCGCAACGAGCTCCCACTGCGCTTCTCTGCGGAATGACCGTCGTTTCTCCGGTGTCGTTCGTCGCTCGTCGGGACGGAATTCATTTTCTGACGCCCTTTTCCCCCGACCACCATACTTACATGGGCTCGGATGACGACTGTGAAATTCTTCCGTCATGAGAAATCCGCGACGACGACTTAATATCCGTTGCTCAGAGACAGTTGTCGCTAATTTGGTCGAGTTTCCCTTGTTTTGCCGCTAGGCTTGGCATGACCACTTTGACCTCGGACATTTCTGTCGTCAGCGATGAGGCCGTCAGAAGGCTTTGTTCGGTGGTGTGTCTCTGTCCGGTGTCTAACGCTATTACCAAGACAGAGTCAAAATGATACTAACGGGTGACTGGAACTTTCCGAAAGTGATACATCAAGAGAGAGAGAGAGCTGAGAAGCACAAACTAGAAGTATCTGTTTGAGTAGTGCCCCGATTTACCCATCTGGGTTCGTGGCTCTAGCGTTTGACTTAGCCTGGATCCGGATCCGCAGTCTGCAAACATCTTCGACGACGCCGAAGCCCCGGACTAAGAATAATGCGCAATCGTTCGGGACGAGACAGAGAAACCGCAACAATCGTATCGGAAACATCCGATTCCTACGTCTAGAGACCACAGAGACGATGATTAATTCTTCCCAGTCCATAGGTCTGAGATAACTCTTCGGTTTGCTCCCTTCAGCTGCTCTCGTGCACTCGATTGCCGTCTCTTCACCCACCAAGGAGAACAAGGACTCTGTCGAACTCGATAGAACCGTGGAGGAGGAACTCTTCTTGCCCGAGCAAGACCTAGCAGTACCAAAGCTGCTAAATGTCGACGTGCGTTGTAATCGAAACTCGCTCGACGTCATAATGACGTTCGATGCGGAATTCCACGGTAAGTTGAGGAAGCCTCAAATTCTCATAGAAAACCCTATTTCCAGAGATTGAATATCTTTTTGCTCGAGAATGAGCTCAGGGCGAAGTCGCCCCCCAGATGAAGATCAGCTCGAATGTGCACCACGCCTGGGAATATTCGATTTTTGCAGGTGTTGTCTACTCGAAAGGTCACTATTCGGATCCCAACTGTCGATATCTCCGAACTAATCCAGAGACCGGACCCAACCAACTAAAGTTCACGGTCTTCGCCGATAAATGCGGCACTCGACTGGTCGATGGCGGCAAAAACGGAGAGGCTTTCGTTGAGAATACCGTCGTTGTCCAGAACACGGCTGGAATCCAAGTGAGACGCAATCTGAGGAAAATATGAAAATTCTGAGCGATACGTGCGGAACGCAGCAGAATTCTCGCGCGCGGACTCGGGCTAACACGTAGCCACCTCATGGAAACTGTTTCTTTCTCAGGCCGCTTCGGACACCGCACGAGCTCTCCGATGTCGCTTCGAACGGGACAACATAGCGCGGACCGTCTCCTCATCACTATCGGTCGATGTCCTTGACGTGATTTCTGTCACGTATTCGGGGGACTCCATCGACTCGTACATGGACGTTCAGCTCGGCAAGGGCCCGTTCCACGCAAACCCGGTGAACGGTCCGGTGAAAATCGGCGAAACGTTAACAATGGTCGTCTACATTCACGGGGACGACTACGACGTACACGTTGCCGATTGCATAGCTCACGATGGCGATGTGAACAACGCGATCCAGCTCAGTAACCACCATGGATGCGTGAGCAAACCGAAAGTCATGGGTCCCTGGCAGAGAACCCGGGAGACGCTGACCACAGGAGCTTCGGCGATCGCTTGGGCCTACATGGAAGCCTTCAAGTTCCCCGATAAACTCGAAGTATTCTTGGAGTGCAACATCGAGATTTGTAAGTTCCAGTGCCATGACGACCCGAATCGATGTCTCGTCGGTCGGAAAAAATCAGCGGCGAGCAGAAAGCGGAGAAGCGCCAACGATCCATCATCCGGAATTCCATCGAACTCGACGGCGACGCTCCGTAGACTGAAAGCTCGCGTACGCAAACAGAAAGAGATAGTTCAGCCCGTTGAAGCGGAACCGCCCGAGGACCCTGAGCCCGATACCGAGGAGGGAGAAGAATTGGCCGAAAGTGCTCATCTGATGCGGGGAATCCGAGTCGTCGCACCCGAAGACAGCATCGAAACCTCGACGGGGCCGGTGCGCAGTTCCACTTTCGTTGCAGTGCCATCAGCGGACAGGCCGAGCGTGATCCTCGCACCTCATCCCCAGCCGAACCAGCTGTGCGTTTCGACGTCAGGCTTCCTGTTCTGTGCGTCGCTAGGAGTTCTACTCCTGGTCACTTTGTTGCTCACGATCGTTGGTCTGTATCTCCGGATGCGACAGCTGGATCCTGAAGTTCAATTGATGACAGAAGCCGCGATGGCCGGGACAATGCAGCGGCGTCATGTCATAGCTTCGATATCTGCTCGAGCCGGACAGGGAGCACCTCGCAGAAAAGGAGACTTCTGAGTGCAGATTTTGAGCCAGAGCAGCGAGGAACGATCCATCAGTCGATCATTTTATCGTTCGCCGATCTGACTCTCTGAGACGGGAGGAGCGGGTCGTCGCGGACGTTTTGTTTTGAGACAGGCCGCGACCGGTACGAGCCATAGCCGAACCGTGTGCGCCCGGTGGGCACCGATCGACTCGTCACCTGTGTTTTTCCTCGATCAGCTCACCTAAACGAGGATGCCCGAGCCTGCGTACAGCGTAGTCGTTGCATGAGAGCGAGAAGTTTCGCTCGGAGGAGTCCGAACTCCTTCGCAATGATTTTGTGGTACGCGGAACGCACACTTACGTAGATACGAGCCGGACTGGGATGAATTCTCCTCCCATGGGAATGCTCTCCCTCGATCATTCGAGAAGGGGAGGGGGCGCAACTTCGATAATTTAAAACCCTCATCGCTCTTACCCTATTTCCTCATGTTACATTGCTATGAAATCATTCACGATCACCGAACCGAGTATTGTTGAAGTTATTTTGTTGAAGGAGCAGTTCATCTCGAGCTTGTACGAGAAGTACTGCATGGGGGAAAATATGAGGGAGAAAATGTGATCCTCTTGTTGGTGCCTAGAGAGCCCGTACGTAGGAAATTTCCCGTCAGAGCGCCGGAAAATGGAGGACGTGGAAAATAAATTTGATGAAAACCTCCTGGCGACTCTTTCATTCTCGAAGTGGTAAAATAGTCTGAACTCTCGGACGACCCGCTTCAGCGCTGCCATGAGAATGATCGTGCTGACTAACCCAGTTATCATCAGTCCAATATCGGAAAAACTCAACCCACTCATTTCCATCTGAGCGATTTATTGAGAGATCGACGGTAGAGTGTCCTCGGTAGGCCGGAGACTATTCAGAAATCACAGCTGTGTCGAACGCCGACCGGAGGTCAGTGTTGCCATGAACCCTCTCGATATGTCTTCGCACATGGTTGTGAGTGTAACCGAGATAGTCGCACAGCCCGCACTTGAACTCCCGCAGCCCCAGATGGCGTTTCTCGTGTAGCACAAGACTCTTCCTATGGGTGAAGCATTTACCGCATTGGCCGCATCGAAATGAGGGTTCGGAGTGAATAAGCAGATGCTTGTTGAGATCACCCCGGGCATTGCTGCGGTAGTCGCACATGTCACAAGCGAAAGGTTTCAGGTCGGTGTGCGTATGCTTCAAGTGACGGATTAGGTGCGCTTTGCGATCGAAACGCTTCTGGCAATGAAAGCATTCGTGCAAACTTAGCGGCTCCCCATGAACCAGCTTCATGTGAGATCGGAGTATATATTGATCTTTGTAGATTTTCCCGCATACTTCACAATGATTCGGTGAGAGACTGTCGTGCCGTTCGTTGTGTCGTCGCATTTGGTTCGTCTGCTCGACCACGACCCCACATTGGAGGCAGACCAAGTTTGGATGTTTCCGCACATGATGCCGGAAAAATTCGCTTCCCGGCAAAACCACATGGCATTTTCTGCATTCCATGGTGTTCGTGTCGTCCACAAAGTCCCGATGACCCGCTTGAAGGTGACGGCTCATGTGGCCCTCGTAAAACGAGTAGAAGTCGCAGAAAGGACATTGGATTTCCTCGTCGATGACGCCCCTCAGGCTTATCTCCTTGAAGAACTCGGGATCCTCGACTGGATACGTCCTGTACACGGGGACCAGAGTGACATCGTCAACCCAATCCACGGTCCCTTTTAGAACGGCAAGACTCACGTTGAGCGTCAGAGGACCTTCCTCGGTGTCCAGGTCAAGCGTCGAGGTGGCGGAGAGCTCTTCATACTGTACGATGGTTTTCAAGATCCGGTCCCCGAGCTGACTCAATTTCAGAGTGGGGGGAACGTCGTCCAGAGGAACCTGGACTAAGACCGAGATAAGTTTGGTCAGGACCACGATCGAGACTGTTTCTGTTGCGGACAGTGATGGTCGCCCCGGACCTCTGCGGCCTAGCAGAGCTCCGAGTGTTTCCAAATCCAACTCCCGAGCTTTTTCCTCCACCGGTTTCAACGGGATAGCCAGAGCCTGCAATCGTTAATGAGACTTATTCGAGCAACTCCAGGATTGACAGTCGAGAAAACTCCCGGAATTTCATGGAATTAATTGGTGAGTCTCCTCTTGAGCTCACCTGCTGACACTCAAAATCTATGTGGAGTACGTGGGTGACGCCGGAGATCTCCACGACCGACTCCGTGCCCAGATTGATCGCATTCTGGAAGTCCAATTGAAATCTCTCGTCCGTGCCATTCTGCGGAATATCGGCACTTGGCATCGTCAAGGAATGCTGCGACGGAGAGCAGAAATCCGCGACGCGAATCGGAAGCTGAAAAAATTGAGCGTCGGATACACTCATCTTCGAGAAGACTAGAGGAAAAGTACGCGAATAAGAATAGATCAACAAACGGAACTCACCTCTCCCGATCGAGATTCGTCCCGCGCTACGAGAACTTCATCGTGCCCTCCGACTTGCGACATGACGCTCAGGAGCCTCCTCCATGAGAAGACCCCGATCAACTGATCACCTGAAAACGGAACCCGTCGCTTTATAGCAAAATACAAGAAGGGAAAATCTGGGTTTTCTATCAGAATGCAATCGATCTGTTCCGGCGGCGAAATGAATGCTTAGACCATAGGACCGTCATCGATGTCGGGGATCCGTCAGAGCATTCTCCAGGCGTGCGGAATCTTTTGAATTCAATGTCACACTCACTTGTTCGTTGCGAATTCCCGAGTCCATGAGTCTTCGTCGAATTCGGACCTGACCGATGCGGAAGACCCGAACGAGAGCCCCGGTCTCTACGCGCTCAACAGAAGAGCCACCGACATCGCAGCGAAGATTATTGCTCTTCAAATAAAGCGGTACCATTCTTCCTACGATTAGGAGCGGCTTCCGTCGCTTAGACGTCTCCGCGTTTCGCGATCATATGCGACCCACAGTTCGGAAAAATATATTCCGTACTCTTTATCGTTCTCCCCTGGTTCTCTCGGTGCGCCGGATACCGAAAACCTCCTCCAGAACTCGGATAAGGTGAGAGAGCACTAGTTTCAAAACAGAAACTTCAAACCGAACGAATGCAGGTGACTGTTGATGATAATACTCAGCCGCAAGAGCATGGATCGAACTTAAAACCGGGCCAGGACCGCAGCCTCATTCGAAGATGCCCGACAGATTCCGAATCTCATTTCAACGAATATCCTCGGAGCGAATAATTTGCGCACGTCGATCTTGAAAGGCGGGTCTAGTCCCCTTTCAGGGGTCACGGATCTCCTGCGCGAGCGGGCTCTCCTTTCAGTCTGTGTTCGAGTCGACGCCGCGCGTGGGCCGCCAATCTTCCGCGCGTCTTCGAGCGAGGATTGTCGTTGTTCTTGTTAATTGTTCCATCTCTCGCGGGCGGATGTTTGCGGAATCGAACCTACAGAAGTGGTCACAGAAGTTATATTCCCTTCCAGAGAGAGATGGCGGTCTCTTTGTGGAGATCGCGTCTCACCTCATTGATCCATCGTCAGGTTGCGTCTGCGACCTCACGCCAGTTCTCCCAGAGAGGCCTCAATGAGAGCATGGACGCCGACGAGAAGCGAGTCACTGTCACGCGGCGGCGAGACAGCTTCGCCGTGGAGAGTGATGAAGTGAAAGACAAACGTCTGTTCATGCAGATGGTCGAGAAGTTCAAAGCAGCGAATCCGAATCGTCGAGGACACATCGAATTCATCGAGGTCGCCTTGAAGCATGTCGAGGAGTTCCAGGTTGGTGCGGGAAAGATTTTCGACTATTCCAACCAGTGTTCCGGAGCGATAGTACCGGACGGGGTAAACTTGACCACCGCTGTATTTCAGGTTCACGCGGACATGTCGGTCTACAAGGCGCTGTTCGATTTGTTCCCCAGAGACAAACTGAGACCCAAGAACTTGACCCAAGCCGCATTTGTGCATTTCCCCCGCCACCAGGACTGTGCTCTGCACATCCTCAAAAAAATGAGCGAGCACCGCCTGATTCCTGACCAAGAATTTCGCCTAATGATCCTTGATATCTTCGGCCCGGAAACTCACGTAGGTTATCGACTAGGAACTTCTCTATTCCTTGACGTTGATTCTCCGCACGATCGTCCCTAACGAATCATCCCGATCTTTACCTCCATCAAAAGTTCCGACCGGATTTTGTCAGTGTCATTCTCAACTCGTTGATTCGCCTCGGATCATCACTTGAATTGAAAGCGAAAATTAATTCATGCCCGCACCTCTTTACTTGTCTTGCAGGTATTCAAGTTATACTGCCGAATGATGTACTGGATGCCAAAATTCAGTAATGCTTCTCCATATCGATTGCCGAAACGCTTACCGAGAGACGCGAAGGAGCTCGCCCTGCTCGGCATACAGAGGATAACAGGCGTCGATCGTGCGACGGAAATCGAAGTTTTCGAGGCCAGAGAGCTCACCGAGTCCCTCGATAAAACATGGATCGTTTCTGGTCAGAGTTGGAAGGTGGGTGGGAAGGGGAAGTCAGCGGAGAGCTCACGCATGGGAATGACGCTTACTTACCCCCATGCGCACGGCTACACTGCGTCTTGAGATGAGTTGATCTGAATTTCGGAGAATTGATGAAACGAAGCGTACGAAGTGAAGCCCTAATCTCCCCGATTGCAGCAACGAGAGCTTCTGCTGGAAGAGAGTGGGAAAAACCCTCTGAAGATCGAAGGACCGTTCACGCTGTGGATGAAACCTCGAGCGATACAATATTTTACACTGATAGGAGAGCCACGCATCAAGCCGGAAGTCTGCATTGAAACTGACGGTACGTGCTCGAGAGTATTGATTTCCACTGTTTTGTCCTCGAAGCTCGGGATTCGAACGTTTTCTTCCATCTGCAGATGTGTCCAATCTAAAACTGAGACTTTTCGGCGAGAAAGAGGAACCGACGAAAGATATCACGAACCTACCGAGCGTTCACGAGCAGCTGGATGGAACTGTTTTCGCGTGCTGTGCCACCGGTACTTCATCGAGGGATTCGCTGCTCTCGTGGTTGCGGTTCCTACAGCGGAGAAATCCAGTCTTAGAACGTCTCCCAACGGTTTTCAAATTGAGAGCTCCCTCCGAAGCTCTCGTCAATGTTGATATGCCCAACAAATCTGAGCAAGCGGATGCATGGGCCGAGGAAAGTGCTCAATCACAATGAATTTCTGTCCTTAGGTGTTGATTTATTCAAATGTTTCCATACGAGATTTATTGAATAAAAAATTCTAGATGGGATAAACACCTTGAATGGTCTTCCACGTCTGCTGAGCGGCATGAGCGACCCACGAGATCCAAAAAGCTCGTATGACACAGTGTTAGAAGCTACGTCAACGGAGCTACGTCCCTCCAGGGAGTCTTCAGTTGGGATCCGTGTGCGCCCATCATTTCGCAACACGGTTCCCGACGAATAGGGGAACCGGAGTCGAAGTTCCGGCTGAAGACAAGGACCCGATTTGAGCCCTCGGGGCACAATGGATCGATTGGAATCGAGCTCCCCGATGATAATTTTCGTGCGGCTCTGATTTGCTCGCTCAGATTCTGTCCGGGCGTCGAAGGACCATACCGAGGCCTATGGGAGACACTCAAGGCTCCCGAGCTTCGCGTCGACATTCGTTCCCCCTGCATGATTCGCTGCTACTAGACCCTCTCAAAATTATCGGTGAGGTGTCTCGTACGTGAATTTTTCTCACTGTGAGGTCGCAAACGGCTCCTTGTGGATCCGTCATCGGAATATGTAGCTTGATTGGACTCGTATTTCGTTTCTCGTGGATATTCGTTGAGGAGGAAGGAACCCACATCGGAGATCATGTCACCTGGATTCCCCAAACAAAATATATGATCCCTCATCCATCCCGTCCCCAGCCGTTCCGACATCGATGTCGAGCATCAGGGAATGTGTGTATCAGATCCGTTCATTGAGACGGCGGGGTCTGTCAAACATGCTGTCGACTCAAAATCTTTGACGCTCTCGGATCGAGCCGCCCCATAGTATTGGAAATAGCCGCCCCATAGCGGAAAACGAAGCAGTCTTGAACGGAGAGAAAATTGCGCGGAAAATTCGGGCTCAGCGGTAGAGCCTTCACCTTGTAGAAGACGTCACCTGAGCTAGGATTTATCGTCCGTCTCGCCCAATATCTGCTGGTCCTTGTACGATTCTCCATCTTCTCGAAGACCGGAGAACCCTCCAGTCTCAGACCGATTCTCTCTCCGGCGTGGACGAGCAATTTTCCGTCTTGAGAGAAGTCAGGTCCTGATCGAGCAATAATAATTGTCAAATAATTTGATCAATGAAGCTGAGCTCGTCGAGTGTCTCGCTCCCGAATAGCCAGGAGGAGTCTCCTGCCCCGAAATCAAGACTGTCTGTGGCCGTGACACCAATTCGACTCCGAGTCACCGACTGATAATAATGAACTGATGCGGTTTTGCGCTCAATCCACTCGTGAGAAGTTCCTTGGGCGGGGACCGGAGGCGAGCTGTTACGAACCGCCCGGCTAAAGACCTCCCGACGCTCGCCAGAAACTTCTTTGTCTTTGTCGTCACTCGCAGCCAGCAGCAGCAGCAGCAGCGGCAGCACACAGCCGGAGTACTTTCAGCATAGAGCTCGTCGTCTGGGCGTTGGCGCATAGACAAAGGAGTTACACTGTGAGTATCGTTTCGGTACAATTTCAGTCAGCCGTCAACGTACGGCTTGTGCGGGTAGTCGGAGTGCCCGGATCGGTGTTCGAGCTTCGGATAGTCGGTGAGCAGCTACATCAGGTGTGCGTGTGTGACCAATGTCTCCCCGAAGACGCTGCGGCACTGAAGTATCGATCGGAACCGGAGCCCAGCGACCCGGCTCATGGTCCGTATATTCGGGTACCCGGGCGCTTCCGAATGAGCTTCCGGGCCGTGGGGGCCTACGATGTCGGACTCGTCTCCGTTTCGGACTCTTCCGCTATCGTGACCTTCGTGGAGAAAGAACCCCTAACCCAGTCTGTTCGGCGGAAACGCGGCCATCTTGAACTCCGGAGTCCGGACTCTGCTCTCGGGAGAAATGAGCAGCGACCAGGAGTAGGTTTCTAGCGAGAGCTGCTAGCAGGCGCCTGTCGGTGCAAAACTTCCGAGAAAAGGAACCTTGCGGACGCATCCCTGCCGAACGAGCGCTTGCCGTGAACATTGGGCGGTTCCCCGTCTTGTCAGACGGAATGTCATCCACCGTGAGCCGGCTTCGCCTTCACCCCCGTCAACCCCTCAGCTCGGCATATCCGCGCGGAGCAACCGGAATCGCGGATTAGGCGCGATATTTTAATCCAGCCTGTGCTAAAACATGTGTTGGATAAACCAGCTACCTACATATCGTAGCTATTCGTTTCGATGCGTGACCCGGACTGTTCCGAAACACCAGTTAGCGACCTCTAGGGCCTCAGGCGCCCGGAGCCTCCGGCAGCTCTGGACAAACGATTGTCTTCCCTGAGAACTCGAGAAGACATCTCTCTTGACAGCTGCTTGGCGAAAACACGTTTTCCTGCTGAAGGTGCCCATAACGCTGACGCGGTCCGGGTGGTGAGAGGAAGTCATCCAAGGCAGGCCAGGTTGGGTGCTCCCGACCAACGTAACGTTTCGGTCCCAGGACCTTGTCGATTCGGCTTCGAACGATTGCTATGCTTAACGCAGCTCCCCCGACCGATTAAGGCACAATTGACACGAACGCCGGCACCGAGAGCGCTTTTTTCCCTATCCGAGAACGTCTACCATTATTTTGGAGATATTCTCGAAGGAACAAGCTCCTACGGATACGACGACGATCATAGAGTAGCTGAGCGATCTACCCATGGTAGTGTCAGAGTTTTGACGAATGAGAATGAGGTCTTGTGAAAATATCGTCGTCTTGAACGAGTACACCTTTCTCGGTCGACGCTGAATCATGCAGCAGCGTGCGAGAAGGCCTTGCCAACGCTGATGTCATGCGGCTGTGAAGCCAGCCGGCGTACCGATGCGCGTACACAGACAGAGGCGCGGCTCTGAATTTAACGTGTCAGGCTGAGTATAGTCAGGTCCCATCGGGGGACTCGCCTGTCAGGTTGTGCGGTTGTTAGCTCGGATGGTGAAAGGTGGTCAAGGGAAAGAGGAGGAAGTCTGCCGAGTTGCCGTCTCTCGTGGCTTCGTATGGACGATGCCGGAGAAGCTTGTTCTCGACATTGTTATTCAATGAACAGCCATTTTATAGCTCGATCGGCCCGAAATCATACGGCGCACCGTCGGGCAACAACCCTCGGAGCCGTGCATTCGCACGGGACCGTTTCTCGTTGTCACAGGGCGAGCATGAAGGAATACTTCCGCTCAGGTTCCAAACTCGTAATGTACATCCTCTACGACAGAGAGTTCTCGTTCCTGCTCGTTCGATCATTCTAACGAATAGAACGAAACTCATCCGCTGATTGTTGATGCGGTACGAACGTTGATTGCTTCGAAGGTCCTTCGACTTCGCTGTGGGCCCTGCCCATGGACGCCAGAAGCAAGGAAAAAAAAACTCGCCGAAGCCCTCTCAGATTCCCCGTTGTCTTGTTCAAAACGTCGGGCGGCGCATGATGAGCTGCATATCCCTCCGCGGCTCGTCCCTCCAATTTGGGGCTTGAATATCGGGGATATTCTTTTCGAACTTCTTGCCAGAGTGGCTCATCAGTGCCGACCATGTAGATATGTGGAATTCGATCGTGTTTGTAGACCTCGACATCCAAGCGTGATCGTTCCCCGGAATTCCGGGAACGATGACAGACCCGTCAGCCCGCGAAATGCCTATAAGGAGGCGTGAGGGCTTCCTGGAGGACAATTACTTTAGAGTCGTCGTCGTCATCATCACTATCTTGTTCGAGATAGTTCATCAGTCTCAACAAGTGGAACGAGAACAGATTTCCTGGCGTAATTCCGACCGCGCGAAAGCCGGACCTAAGGACCGCCGAGCGAGCGAGCGGGCGAGTTGACTGACTGCCTGATTGACTGACCGACTGACTGATAGGGTGGATGGCCACGCTACTCATGCAGCATCGAGCAGATGACGTCAGACGCCGGCAATGTTTTCATAGTCGGAAGAGCGAGCGACCGACCGACCGACTGGGCAGACAGACAGACGTCTCTACGGATCGAATTTATCGGGTTTCGACGTGCCGGTCGCGCCAACCGACCTGACGTCCGTCTGTCTCTCGTGTCTTCAAACCGCCCTACGCTAAGGTGTCGCAAAACGCCACCGAGTGAGCTTCCTGGCGTTAGCATGTGAGCGGCTGTGACGGCTGTCTGTGCTCACGTGTCCTTGGCTCTCGTTGTCGAGCCAAATGGCACGCCCAGATCTGGTCTCCGACGACGACAACGACGGCTACCACTCGTTGATCGACTGAGCGGAATGTTTACTGCCAGCGACAACTCTCCACGAACTCATCGTGCTTCGCTCGGGCTCCTTGGGATCTTGAAAGTGAGACCGGCGAACAGACGGACAGAGAAATAGAGATCCTCATCGTCGTCGTTGTCGTCATCATGTCGACTGCCTTCCCGTTCGGGGGCAATTCAGCCGCGGGCGGACATGAACCGGACGATGAACATTGATCATCTCTATCTATCGGAGTCTATCGCTCCCGTACGGATGAATGCCAATCGGAAACATCTGATCGGGATTATCGCCGCGCGCCTCGGCGTGCGCTGAATGAGCTGCCCGCGCGTAAGATTCGCGCCGTACGCCAATTGAATCAACGTACGAAAAGGGGGCCATTGAGGAAGACGGCTTGTTTACTCCGCTGTGAAGATCGATTTCTGTGTAGGTTACCTGCGTGTTGTTACAATCGTTCTCAATTATTATTTTCAATGAGACTTCGTAGACATCGAGACCAGCGGCAGCAGCGCATCCGTAGACGGGGAGCAACCGAGCCGAAGCATCCGCATGGCCATGGTTTAGCTCGAACAGAGAAAACTATGACACCGACGAGGAGAAATAACGCATCGACGTGATCGTGTTCTGCCTGAAAGGTTCCTAACACCAGCTCGCTTGTTTGTTGCGCGGGTGGGAATGCCGTCGACGGCGACAGACGTTCGTATGATCCGAGCTTCCGTGAACAGTGGAGAAAATACGTTTCCTATGGACGTTCGGTTTTTGTTTTCTTTTTCCTCTCCCGCCAGTCGGCAGCCCAGAGGGAAATGGGTCAAAATTGATACATTCACTACAATGTCGACGGCGTCTGCCGCCGTGACGGCCCCACCGATGCTCTCTCCCGCCACCGCGCAATCGCTCCTTGCTTTACGACTGCGCGTGTCGCTCCCGGGGAATTTACGTGAATCTCGTAGTTCCCTCCACGACTGCCTGAGCGAGATTGACAGTCGATAGTGCTGTCGATCCACGCATGGACACGGGGACAGCTACGGGACTGATGATGATTCCCCAACGCGAATAATCGAGTCACGAATACCGGTGAGGCGGTCCCATGACGTCCCGATTCCCGCCGTCGATTCCCGAGGAGACTCTGCTCGAGAACGAGGAAAAATGAGATGAGCATTCAGAGAATGGATGGGTCTGATCCGTCTGTTGCCCATGAGCCACCGGAGGGTGGGGTCGAAAGGGCGTGGACGTGTCGGGTGTCGGAGCAACCGAACTCTAATAGTAAGCGGACTGACGTGATGGGCACCGGCTACGTTTCAGGGTCGCTTCGAATCTTGCCCGGTGTCAGAACCGCGGCTGAGGTGGTGGCCTGCCTGTGCTTTTTTTCGCCGCTTGGCTTCCTTCCTCGCAGGCGCTGGTATCGAGAGTAGAATTGCAAGAATCACATCCACCTCGGCAAGCTGTAACCATTTGGTGCGTCGAGTGTGAGTGAGTTGAAGATTCTAGATAGACCGCGAGATTCTATAGAGCTTCAAAATACAGCGGCGAACCTTAAAGAACAATGACATGCCGTTCGGCGTAGGAGACTCGTTATTTTCTCTGGTTGAAACCCTCTCCCCTCGCGGCAGAGGGCTGGATCAAACGCGCTCTGGGGCCCTCTTGATGCCTTATATGTCTTATATATACGGGGACGGTGTTATGTGGGCTCCGGGCAACACGAGCGGTCCACGAGCGGTCGAACCGCCATTCAGTCAGTCGTTTCGAGAGGTCGGGTTCCATCCAAGATTAGAACACAAATGGATGACAGACTGGCTAGCCGGTTACGAAGAGATGGAAATATGATGGCAAGTGAAAGTTTCGGGAGGATTTCTCTCGCGCTCTCTTATCTGTGCGGAAGGTGGAATCCGAATGCTTGACCTTGTGGATCGCGGACGCTTGCATCCCATGCCGATGAGTCATTCGTGATTTCATCATCGCTCGTCGATCGGTAAGGTCAAGCCTCGCGTTGAATCTTACCTCGGGACATCGCTCTCGCCGGTTCTCTTTCCTTCAGCAGAGGAGAAAAGAGCATTTCTCTCGATTCGATATTTTTGAAGTTTTGTTTACGTCGAACTGACATGATGAATGTGATGCGTCGCGTCGTCATCATATCCGACGCGCTGGCTGGCTGAGCCTGAACCCGAGAGAACATGGAGAAGAGAGCGACGATCAGCGATAAGCAAATAGTTCGGGCGCCTCGGAAAGCCGGCTTCTAGAGGCTGTCAACTCGTGAAAGAAAATGTCATCCCGCATTTCTTGACATTTCATGCAGGCGAGCTGCGTTGAGTTTCGATGTCGTGAGTGGGCGAATCGTTGGAATTGTTTTGTAGGAAGGAGTTGAAAGCGTGTTCGTGTAAGCGAGCGAGCGAGTGAGTCCTCCGTGGCTAAAATTGGAAACTGGGTCGACTGCATTAAGCCAAACGCGGCTCGAGCCGCTCCGGCTCTCTGAATCAACGTCGGACTTTCTGCTCCCTCGCACGACAAGGTCTTTCCCTACACAGGAATGAGAGCTGAAATGCAAAGCCGAATCCTCGGTACCAAAAGGTCAAGTTTCTCCGTCCCTGAGAGCGAGTCATATTTTCGTCGAACACCGCGGCGGCTGGCATTTGTCCGTCCCAGAGGATGGACTTGTAGCGAGCGAATTCGATATGACGGAGTTTTCGATTTGTCGACCAGAGTCCTCGAACAGCATCCGATTCGGATAGCCCTGTGAGGAGAGAATAGGCGGACGGAATGTCACAGCAAAGCACTAGAAGCAAAGTAACTAACGAAAGCGACGCGAAGCGCTCCGGCCGCATCGGAATGAGCGACTTCAGCGTCACGCCGCCGTAAACAATGGAAGCGACCGACGTTGGAACCAGCTATCGTTCTAAAGCCCGAAGCACACACAACGGGACATGGCGGAGGGGGCTCTTCCCGCTGTCAGGAGCGAAATTCAGGGAAGGAGTTGGCGGCCCGTGCCTAGCTCGCTGAAACAGTAATTACAAGCGGCTTATCTCCATTAATTGCTGCTCCGGCTCGGGACTTAATCCACATCGGTACATCTCCCCGATATACGCTCGGCAACGGAGTTATTGACTCTCCGTACGAATTTCCCCATGCATCGAACATGAGGGCTCATCATCCTCCGACGTGTCGCTGAAAAATTTGAAAATAGCATGAGACTCGGACCGGGCTCAAATATGCTCGACGACATCCCTTCGGGCATGGCCTCTCGAAGGCGGAATAATCCGCGCGGGGTCCGTCGACGATCAATCTCTTCGCGCAAGCCGTGGAGCTACGCGCCGTGGTCTGCTTCACGGAGTCCACAGGCGGAGTGAACCGTTGATAAAGTCAAGGTTGAGTTTTATAGACGCACCCGGCTCTAGGGGTCGTTCTTGTCGGCCGAGCGACTGACTGCGAGATCAATCAGAGCTGAATGATATGGAACAAGGTCGGTCTGTCGATGAGCGTTCAATGCTATCGGTTTTGCCCTCCGCCTCGACATGAGGGCTCCCTCTGGAAGCGAATTGGCCAGACTGCGAACTCCGTCGTGGTCTCAAGGAATTCCTGTCATTTGGACGTTCACACGGCAGGTCTCAGCATGCGATATGTGCGGTTTTCGACTCGAAAATCCCGGACTCGTCGAAGTCGGCAGAGAATCGTCGGATACCCACGGATGAACTTCGATGAACCGTAGGGGACCTATTTCCACATGTTTAGCCGAAAGAGGACGTATTCTCGCGTTTATGGACGCTCATATGCGTGTGTCGGTGGTAGACGATTCCTGTGCTCACCGGTCGGCAGGAAATATGCTGATACAGAGGAGTTCCCTTCCTGGATGAGCCTCACCCCACCCTGGGTGTGGTGGCGGTGCATTACCAGGAAGCGAGGGAGAACGAACGAGATCCTCGTGAAAGAGCCGCATAGAAACAACATTGATAGCTCCCTAAGAGGTTATTGGCTCAGGAGGAGAGCTTGACGTCGTCGTGGGTGTGGTCCGCGGTAGTTGTCGACTCCGTCGTCGTCGTTGCCGTCGCCGCGCCGTCGACAACATCTACAATGTAGCGTTTGTCGTCCGTGATGTCGCGCTCTGTGCCGGAGAAGCGTGCAGTCATTACCCAATGGAGGGCTAATTGACTCTCCGTGAGCGGGAGGCCATCCGTATGTCGCGATGAGCCTCGAGAGTTGACACTCAATTGAATTTTCTAGAATACGCCGTCGCTCTGGAGCCCCCTCGCGTATAAAAGAGCTTCGTGGTCGCTTCTGTCGTCTTAATCTCAGTTTTTCGACCGAGAATAGTTTCTTGCCGATCCGGATTGTTTTTATAATAGAGTCTCGACCTCGACTAGATCCTCCCCGATTCCGAGGATGGGAATCGGTTTCATTCGATTGATCGATTTTCATGGCTGTCTGTCTAACGATGATCGCGATTGGTATCCTTTCAGACTTTGTCGACGAGTTGTGTGCTAGAGACTGGAGTCTGAAGTGTTTATGCTACGATCGGCTCGAGATCCAAACATTGTGCTGAACAAGTACCCCGAGGAGAAGGGACATCATCCCTGAGTCCCGCTCATCATCCATCCATCCGATCGATAAATCATCGAGTTACACTGTTAGGACTCGGCTGAATAAATAAAAAATATGACGACCGATATTTCGATACGATGGGACATGGCGTCCAACCAACCCCAGGACGGCCTTGAAGATTACGACTACGATGGGGGAAATTCGTCCTCACGACTTTTTGAACGGTCGCGAATCAAAGCGCTCGCCGAAGAGCGTGAGGTTGTGCAGACGAAAACCTTCTGCAAATGGGTCAACTCGCATCTCGTCCGAGCGAATTGCCGCATATCCGATCTGATGATCGACATGCGCGACGGCAAAATGCTCATCAAACTCCTGGAGATCCTGTCGGGGGAACGTTTACCGCGACCCACCAAAGGCAAGATGAAGATCCACTGCCTCGAGAACGTTGAGAAGGCGTTACAGTTCTTGAAGGACCAGCGCGTGCATCTTGAAAACCTGGGAGCCCACGATGTCGTCGACGGCAATCCCCGTCTGACGCTCGGTCTCATCTGGACCATCATCCTCCGCTTCCAGATCCAGGACATCACTATCGAGCAGGTCGACAACCAGGAAACCAAATCGGCCAAGGACGCTCTATTGTTATGGTGCCAGATGAAGACGGCCGGTTATCCCAACGTTAACGTGAGGAACTTCACAACCTCGTGGAGAGACGGTTTGGCTTTCAACGCTTTGATTCACAAGCACCGACCCGACCTGATCGACTTCGAGAAACTGTCGAAGTCGAATGCCATCCACAACCTGAACAAGGCCTTCAACGTAGCCGAGGACAAGCTTGGTCTGTCCAAACTGCTTGATGCCGAGGACGTGTTCGTCGAGCAGCCGGACGAGAAGTCGATCATCACCTACGTCGTCACCTACTATCACTACTTCTCGAAGATGAAGCAGGACACCGTTCACGGTAGACGTATCGGCAAAGCTGTTGGAAACGCAATGGATAACGATAAGCTGATCGAAGACTACGAGCGACTCACCTCTGATCTTCTCAGGTTAGGATCGTGTTCTCCGATACGTAGACGTAAATCCGTCGTGCCGTTGAGATTTCGAGAGCGAGAGAATTTCGTTCCCCGTGGATCCACTGGACGACGATCGAACGTACGGAAATTACTTAAAAAAGCAAAAAAAAAGAATATTTCCTCTTTTTCCAGATGGATCGAGCAGACCATTGCTGTCCTTGGGGACCGTAATTTCACGAATTCGCTCGTTGGCGTTCAGAAGCAATTGGCAGATTTCAATCAGTATCGCACGGCGGAGAAACCGGGTCGCTTCGAAGAGAAAGGCGACTTGGAGGTTCTTCTCTTCACGATTCAGAGCAGGATGAGAGCCAACAACCAGAAGCCGTATCTCGCGAAAGAGGGGAAAATGATATCCGACATCAACAAAGCGTGGGAACAACTCGAGAAAGCCGAGCACGAGCGAGAACTCGCTCTCCGCGAGGAGCTCATCCGCCAGGAGAAGCTCGAGCAGCTCGCGGCTCGTTTCGACCGCAAAGCCGGCATGCGGGAGACGTGGTTGAGCGAGAACCAGCGTCTCGTCTCTCAGGACAACTTCGGAGGCGATCTCGCCTCGGTCGAGGCTGCCGCCAAGAAACACGAAGCCATCGAGACCGACATTCTGGCTTACGAGGAACGGGTCCAGGCCGTGGTTGCCGTCGCGCAGGAACTCGAAGCCGAAAACTATCATGACATCGACCGGATCAACGCGCGGAAGAACAACGTGCTGCGTCTGTGGAACTTCCTTCTCGAACTGTTACGCGCCAGACGCCAGCGTCTCCAGGCGTGCATGGGTCTCCAGCAGACATTCCAAGAGATCCTCTACATTCTCGACGCGATGGAAGATCTCAAGAAATCGCTCACGACCACCGATCTCGGCAAGCACCTGATGGGGGTCCAGGACCTCCTGCAGAAGCACTCGCTCGTCGAGGCCGACATCAACGTGCTGAGCGAGCGGGTCAAGGCTGTCGTGAACAACTGCCAGCGATTCCTCGGCGAGGACCAGGACGATTTCCGGCCCGCCGAGCCCGAACAGGTCCAGAAGCGTATCGCGCACCTCGAGGACGCGTACGCCGAGCTCGTCCATCTCGCCCTCCAGCGACGTCAGCAGCTCGAACAGAGCAAACGTCTCTGCCAGTTCTTCTGGGACATGGCCGAGGAGGAGGCGTGGATCAAGGAGAAGGAGCAGATTCTCTCCTCGATGGAGATCGGACACGATCTGCACATGGTGCACCTGCTGATCAGCAAGAACAAGGCCATGGAGAACGAGCTGGCCATGCACGAGCAACAGCTGCTCAACTGCATTCAGTCCGGGAACGATCTGATCGCCGAACAGCCCGTCGGCCAAACGGACAAGATCGCGCAACGCATTCAACAGGTCCAAGAGTCCTGGGACAAACTCAAGGAGCTCGAGGCGCTCCGGGCAAAGAGGCTCAACCAAGCCGTGGCCTACCACCAGTTCTTCACCGACGCCGACGACGTCGACACCTGGATGCTGGACACGCTCCGCGTCGTCTCGTCCGAGGACGTCGGCCGCGACGAGGCCAACGTCCAGTCGTTGCTGAAGAAGCACAAGGACGTCAACGACGACCTCAAGAAATACACGACCGTCATCGACCAGCTGCACCAGCAGGCCGGTCATCTCGGCGAGCAGTACCGTGAATCTCCGGAAGTGCTCGAAAGGTTAGGAAGCATTGACAGACGCTACAAGGAACTGCTGGAGCTCGCTCAGTTGCGCAAACAGCGTTTGCTAGACGCTCTGTCCCTCTACAAGCTGTTCAACGAGGCCGACGGTGTCGAGCAATGGATCGTCGAGAAAGAGAAAATGCTGCAGAGCATGAGGATGACCAAGGACATGGAGGATCTCGAGGTCATGAAGCACCGATTCCATGGCTTCCAGGGTGAAATGAATAACAACGCCTCGCGGGTGGCTGTTGTCAAGCAGCTGGCCAAGCAGCTGCTGCAGGTGGAGCATCCCAACTCACACGATATTCAGCAGCGCCAGAACCAGCTCAACCATCAGTGGGGAGTCCTTCGGCAGATGGCCGAGAAAAAACGTGACGAAATCGAACAGGCTCACGGAACTCAGACGTTCTATATCGAGTGCCGTGAGACCATCACCTGGATCGAGGAGAAGACCAAACTCATTCAGGCCACAGAGGACCTCGGAGACGATCTCACAGGAATCATGACGCTCCAGAGGAGACTCAGTGGAATGGAACGCGATCTCGGAGCCATCCAGGCCAAGTTGGACTCGCTCGACAAGGAAGCCGACCGCATCAAGGCCGACCAACCCGAAGAAGCCCAGGGCATTCAGGAGAAGATCGTCACCATCCAACACACTTGGGAGCAGCTCACACAGCTGGTAAGTAACGCCGTCGAGGAAACTGTAACTATAGTCACTTATTTATTTTATTGAATTGAATAATTATCTCAATTCTAGATATCTAATTAAATCTAGATAATCTGCTGTTTGTTTGTACTTTACCGTCTGGGTAGTTTCCCCACATTTTCCCCCTTTCCACCGAACGGAAGTTGATTCGAATCGAATTTCCCTTCCAGCTCAAGGAGCGTGACGCCAAGCTCGAGGAGGCCGGTGACCTTCATCGATTCCTCCGCGACCTGGACCACTTCCAGGCGTGGTTGACCAAAACTCAAACCGATATCGCCTCGGAGGAGATTCCTTCGGACGTAACCCAGGCCGAGCGACTCCTGTCGCAACACCAGGCCATCCTCGACGAGATCGAGAACTACACCGACGACAAGCAGAAGATGATGGAGTACGGCGAGAGGATCACGCAGGGCCAGACCGACGATCCGCAATACATGTTCCTGCGCGAGAGACTCAAGGCCCTCGAGGACGGGTGGAACGAACTCAAACAGATGTGGGAGAACCGTCAACACCTGCTGACGCAGAACGTCCATCTGCAGGTGTTCCTCAGAGACGCGCGTCAGGCCGACATTCTCCTCAATCAGCAGGACAACGCTCTTGCGAAGGAGGAATCGCCCGTCAATCTCGAACAGGTCGAGAACATGCTTAAGCGTCACGAGACCCTGCTGACCACCATGGATGCCAACGACGAGAAGATCAACGGCGTCGTACAATACGGCCGGTCGCTGTGCAACGAACGCCACTACGGCTCGGACAAGATCGCCAAGAAATGCGACGACCTACTCAAGAGGAGGGACCAGAACCGCGAAAAGGCCGCCCAGAAGATGGACAAAATCAAGGACCAGCTCAGCCTGCAACAGATCCTCCAGGACTGCGAGGAGTTCGGCAACTGGGTCCAGGAGAAGCACATCTTCGCCCAGGACGAGACGTACAGGTCCGCCAAGACCGTGCACAGCAAATGGACCCGACATCAGGCTTTCGAAGCCGAAATCCAATCGAACAAGGACCGTCTCCTACAGGTGGAGCAAGCCGCGAAAGCCCTTCTCGCCGAGAAACCCGAGTTGGCATCGGTCATCGAGCCGAAGTTGTCCGAACTCAACGTGCACTTCGAGAACCTCGAGGAGACCACCCGCGACAAAGGCGTCAAGCTGTTCGACGCCAACCGTCAAGTGCTCTACGAGCAGACCTGTGACGATATCGATACGTGGATCACCGACCTCGAGAACCAAGTTCTCACTTCCGAGACCGGACAGGATCTCACCTCGGTCAATCTGATCCTGCAGAGGCAGCAGGCTATCGAGGACCAAATGGCCCAGAAGGCCAGACAGGTCGACGAGCTCGAGAACCAGGCCGAATACCTGCAGAAGATGGATCCCGAAAAGACGGACGAGATCAAGGCGAAGAAAGCCGTCGTCCAACAGCGATTCGCCAAACTGCAAGCGCCGCTCAACGATCGCAAGGCGCAGATTCTCCGCAAGAAAGAGGCGTTCCAATTCCGTCGCGACATCGAGGACGAGAAACTCTGGATCGCCGAGAAAATGCCACTCGCCACGTCCGACGACATGGGCAACTCGCTGTTCTCGGTGCAGATGCTCAAGAAGAAACAGCAGTCGCTGAAGAAAGAAATCGACAATCACCAGCCGAGAATCGACACCATCGTTTCGAACGGCCAGAAACTCATCCACGAGGGCCACGAGGACTCGGGCGACTTCGATCAGCTGATCGCCGAGCTCCTCCAGCGATGGCAGGAACTCAACGAGGCGATCGAGAAACGCAAGGCCAAACTGTTGCAGTCGGAGAAGGCGCAACAATACTATTTCGATGCCTCCGAGGCCGAGGCATGGATGAGCGAGCAGGAGCTGTACATGATGGTCGAAGACAAGGGCAAGGACGAGATGAGCGCGCACAACCTCATGAAGAAGCAGGCCAACCTCGAGCAGGCCGTCGAGGACTACGCCGACACCGTTCGCGCGTTGGGCGAAACGGCTTCGCGGCTCATCGCCGAAAACCACCCGCAGTCCGAACAGGTTGGCATCCGGCAGTCGAAGGTCGACAAGCTCTACGCCGGTCTCAAGGATCTGGCCGGAGAGAGGCGAGGCAAACTCAACGAGGCCCTGAAGCTCTTCGGACTGAGCCGCGACATCGATGATCTCATGCAATGGATAGCTGAGCGCGAGGTCGTCGCAGGCTCTCAGGAGCTCGGCCAGGACTACGAGCACGTCACCAATCTTCGAGAGCGCTTCAAGGCCTTCCGAGAGGAGACCCTTGCCAGCGGGAACGAACGCGTCGACAAGGCGAACGCCCAATGCGATCAGCAGATCAACCAGGGCCACTCCGACAACGCCACCATCGCTCAATGGAGGGACACGATCAACGACGCCTGGGCCGACCTCAAAGAACTCATGAAGACCCGGTCCCAGGTGCTCAAAGCGTTCTGGGAGCTTCACAAATGGTTCCACGATTGTCGGGACGTTCTCGGCCGTATCGTGGAAAAACAGCAATGCTTATCGGACGAACTGGGTCGCGACGCTATCTCGGTCCAGAGACTGCAGAAACGTCATACGAACTTTGAGAAAGACCTACAGACGCTCAGAGCCAACGTACAACAGGTCCAAAGTGAGGGATTGGAGCTCCAGGCAGCATTCGCAGGCGAGAGGGAACGCGAGATCGTTGCCAGAGAGCACGAGGTCGCACAGGCGTGGCAGAAACTGCTGAGCATGTGCGATGCGAGAAGAGGTGAGTTTTCTCTCGAAAAAAAAAAAAATACGTGTTCGTTAGGGTCACCGCAGTCCGCCGTAGGTACCTACATCCAGCTCATCGTGACTCGATCCGGCGGCGCCATGCGGGATCATTGTTGACTAATTATTCCGATTCTCAGGCAAGTTATCGGACACCGGAGACCTGTTTAGGTTCCTGCACTTGTGTCGTGACCTTCAGCTTTGGATGGAAGATGTAGTCAGGCAGATGAACACGTCAGAGAAACCAAGGTACGGTTCAACTCTGTCAGCTCGCTAGCGGCGATCAATAATTCCTCCGTGTTTTCTACGCATCGAATATTTTTTTCATTCCTGATGAGCTTTTCCTTCCGCGCAGGGACGTATCCGGTGTGGAACTCCTGATGAACAATCACCAGAGTTTGAAGGCGGAGATCGACGCTCGCGAGGACAACATCGCCGCTTGCGTTACACTTGGTCAGGAACTACTCGCCAGGAATCACTATGCATCTGGAGAGGTGAGTCGACGTCTGCCCGGTGGCTTCTTCCTCCAGAAAGTCGTTGCGTGTTCGTTCATTTCGCGATACGGAATCTGGATCATCGTTCTCCTCGGGAGGCGGGGTCCTGTGTCGAGTGGTAACTGACGATGAATCCGATTCCAGATTAAAGAAAAGCTGTTGGCGCTGACCACGCAACGAAATGGAATGATGGATCGTTGGGAGGAGAGATCGGAGCACCTACAGCTCAGTAAGTTTGATTTGAAATTCTCTCGAAGATAGGATCGAAGCGAACGAGGAGGCCAATTACCCGGATCAGCTCGGTGTACTTCCGCTAAGAGAGTCGGCGTTGTTTCAGTCCTCGAGGTTTACCAATTCGCGCGCGACGCCGCCGTGGCCGAGGCGTGGCTTGTCGCCCAAGAACCTTACCTTCTCAGTAGAGAGCTCGGACATACGATCGATGAAGTCGATACACTGATCAAGAAACACGAGAGCTTCGAGAAGTCTGCAGCCGCCCAAGAAGAACGTTTCACCGCCCTCGAACGACTAACAACGGTGAGCTAATATATATACCGAGCCTGTCGTAGACTCGAGAGAAAGTCATCGGATCAAGTCGACACTGCTCGGCACGGGGCAACGCCCGACGGTGCCGCGTGAACGGACTGGAGAACGTACTGGAGAAACGTGCTCAAGTCGATCGAGGAGACGGCGCTGATGGTGGTCTGTTATAAAAAGGCCATTGAAGCTAATCGAGTGTTCTCGTAGCCCGAAAACGTGAAGTTCGTGGGTTCTCTGCTTGACTACGTGGCCTATCGGGAACTCGATCGGCACATGAAGAGGTCCAGCCGTTACAGCACTCTGAACGTAAATACGCGTTTGCCCGAGCGGAGGAGGAGATCGGTCTTTATGGCGAGAGTAAAGTTGCGACCCAGGGAATCTGACGAGGCAGGAGAAGGGCAACTTTAGAACTTGAAGCTTCGGCGTGCCGTGATCCTCTAACTTTTCCCAACCGTAACCTTTTCGCACCCGAAGACTTCCAGACCTGACTCGACACTCAGCTCAGAGAACGCAATACTGATTTCTTCTTGAATTTTCAGTTTGAACTCAAGGAGCAGGAGCGACTTCTGAACGAGAAGGAAAGACGAGTCAGAGAAGAGCAGCGTGAAGCCGAAGAACGCGTTGCAGCTGACAAAGCGCGAGCTGAGAAGGTGAGGAATCTATCTACCTCTTCGCATAGACTACGTACGAACTCAGCCTCTTCCGTGAGCCTGGTGGCCCCGCGACGAATTCCGTCGCATTAGAGTCCTGTCTACCGGATAATTAATTAATTTCTCTCGTAAAGGATACCACGGATGCTGCGAGGGCCCGAGCCGCCGAGCAGGCCAAGCTTGAACAGAAGTCTGCGGCACTCAATCTCAGTTCCACTTCCGCTGGTGGAGACGACTACCTCCAAGAAGGATCCCTTTTGCGAAAACACGAATGGGAATCCACCATAAAGCGAGCTCAGAACCGATCTTGGGAGAAGGTCTACCTTGGCCTCCGCGCCACTCCAACAGTGCAACAACTCGGCTGCCACAAGGACGCCAAACACATGAAATCCGAACCCTTGAATTACTTCAAGGGAGAGCAGCCCATCAGCCTAGCGCAGGCGTCCGCTGATATTGCGTCCGACTATAAAAAGAAGAAACACGTGTTCCGTCTCAAGTACGTTTCATCCCTAGAAAGTCCATGATTTTCCTGCTAGTTCATCCCTCACAGGACGATGGCGGGAATGCCTGCGCATGCGCGGGAAATCTGTACCCTGGGGGAAGCTTTCCTGAGCGTTTCGGTCCATCCATTGCAGGTGTCAGAGCGGAGCCGAATTCCTGTTCCAAGCTAAGGACGACGATGAAATGAATATCTGGATCAATAATTTGCGAAAAGCCATCTCGATGGCGGGAGGAGCCGGACCATCGGGCTCGTCCAAGTCGCAGACGATGCCCGCAGGTCCCGGGAGTGAAGAGCAGCATCGCAAAAAGGGAGGATTCCTTACGTTCAAGCGACCGTAACTGCCCTAGCGACCCGAAACACTGCCCTTCCTTGAATGGATAATAACGTCGAATCGAGGAGGAATTTTAGGCGTGAATATTTTCAGCGAGCATAGAGAGCGGGACAAATTTCACCCTTTCAACGTTAGGCTGTTACTGTGTAGGAGGCGAGAGGAAAAAAATCCTTTAGCCTCCAGAGAAGCCGCAGAGGAAGCGCGAGAGGGAGAAAACAAGCGTGAGAGCAAGAAAGCTGTGCGTGCTGTTGGTGAGATTGGCATGCTTCTCTGCCGGCAGCAAAACGAGCATTATTACGTGTGTAGGAAATGAGCTAGAGTTGACTGCAGACGCGAGTCTGGTGAGGCGACCCATAGATGATTTGAACATCGGACGTTCCGGCTGGTCGGTCTCACGACGTTCCGGCTGGCCCCCGAATCCTTTCCGTCAGACCTTGGTTTCGATCCCCGTTCCTCTCTCCCCCACCCTCGATGCCCAATCTAACTTAGACCGGAGCTGCAAAAACGCAACAAGGCCGCCTAGTGGCAATCGTCACACGACGGAATATTCCATCAGAAAAACGCGCGCGAACGTATACGTAAGTATCGCTCGATTCGATTTGTTCCATCCGAGAGCTATCACTCTCCGATGGAATTGAGCGATGTTGTGACCGTTCCTCTCCGACGGGAGGGGTCGGGCGTTTGCGCCGAATTTTTGTGCCGGTGGCTGCAGAGTCCTGACTTTCGCCCCGAGTCCGCAATACTTTTCGTCGCCTATAAAGCTTTCATTTTCGGGCGATTTCTCCTTATGACAGAGCATGAAACTGATGACGAGGAAGCGCCCCTTATAATTCGGTGCGCGTACGTGAACTTTTTTCATCACAGTCATCCCCTTTGTCGACCAGAGCGACAATTTACCAACGATCAGGAGGAGGACTGCGTAGACGATGCTGCGCCAGGGATACGTCCTCGTTCAGGGCGTGGCCGGAAGACCCCGTTGTCCCACTGTGGCCGTTTAAGATTCGTGTGCAACACGACAGGCATGTGTGCGAAGTTCTACGTAGGAGGGAAGACCGAAGCCAGAAATCACGCTTTGCGTTCCCCTGGATCACTCGGAGACCCTTTTGCGGGATACCCCCTTCGATCAGCTCCCTAGCTCGAGTGTCGAACTCCCCCCCCCCNCCC